GGATTCTATTGGATGCCTCGGGCATTCGGCACCAATACCCATCAGCTTCAAGGTTGCCGTAATGCAACTCAATCTGTTCGGCAAACTGATACTGCTCAGCATTCTCTACCCACCATGAGTAGGGGCGGTTCTTTATCATGGCCGAAGCTACTTCAGCATCCTCCCACTCCGAAAACCCAGGAAGGATGTCCCAAAGGATAGCGGGAACTTCATCGTCCCGCCCAGAAGCGCTCGACCCCTCCGTTCTCTGAGGAGGAGCCGAAGAAATGGGAGTCGCCTAATCCCTTCAGCAGGGTCAGGCTCTGCTCTCTGTCCATTCCAGGTCCCAATCCTGTTCCTGGGATCGGGAATTGGCCTTGCTCTTCTTGGAGCACGGGTTCTACCTCTAACTCCTCTCACCATGGATGAGTTTCGAAGAAAAAAAGTCGAAAAAAAGGGAAGGAGTTCAAATTCGAAGAAAAATAAACTAAAATCAAAGGAATTTACCTTAATCTGAAGCGAAAGTTGCCGATTTACGAATTGGCAGTGACGAGTCTCAGTTTCTAAGCTTAATGCTCGGGGAATTTGCGAAGTTTTGACGCGGGTTCTTGGGACTTTCTCGAGAATTCTGGGTTTGTGTTGGTGAATAAGTGAGGAGAGATGACGCGCCTCTAATTATATCTCCAGAAATGGGAATTCTGGGAGTCCGCATTTCAATTTCTCTTAACCATCCCACTAAGTAACCGTTAAACACACGACCTTGCGATTAAACCGCCCATTATCCGTCCAACTTCCACAATTATTCGCCTTAACTGTTGTTATCTCATTAATTACGGTTTAAATTCAAATTTCTTGGATTAATTAAATCATTCACTTCCCTCCTTTTCTGATTAATCAAACCCGACCCGTCATCTTGCCAAATCGGGTCTGGGGGGCAAGTTGTTTGGGTCCAATTTAGTCCAATTGGGCCTAGTCATTAAATGATCCAATTTAAAGCCCAAGGTCAAGGTTCAACTCTCCAATTGTGCTAAAGTCAAAGATCAGTCCTCAAGGCAAGTCAAGTGGGCTAAGGCCCAACTTCTCCATATATGCAAAGGTATAAAAGCTATCAATATTACATTTGTACATTCATTCAAACAAAGCCTCAAGCAATTAATTCTCTTGCATAGCATTCTCTTTCTACACACTGTACTGACTTTAGCATCGGAGGGGCCTTCCTCGGCAACACCCCCGAGGCTAGTTTACGTGTGTTTACTGTGCAGGAAACCTTCGGCCCAACATCACTTGGACCGAATCCAGTCTTCTCCACTTCATCGGACCTTCGACAAGGTTCCATTGTTTTCACCCGAAACACCAAGAAATCAAAATAAGTTTTATTACATGTTCATAAAGTCAAGTTTAACAAATTTCAAACAAAATATATAGTAAAATTTCATGAAAGGGACAGGTATATATATAATGATTATAATCAGGGCCGTTTTCAATAATTTAAAGGCCCTATTCAAATTATAATTAAGAGGCCCTTTAAAATAATTTTTTTTATTTTCAATGATTAATTTGGTATGAGTAGTGTTTCTTAAAACTTAAAATTTATTTAATTAATCTATAATACTCCACTGTTTATCGGTTGTCTGACTTAATTTTGGGCTTAACATAAAACTTGTATAATGTCATTAGTAATTACTCTGTAATATTAATCTGGGTAAATAATAATAATAATAATAATAATAATAATAATAATAATAATAATAATAATAATAATAATAATAATAATAATAATAATAATAATAATAATAATAATAAGCCTTGAAAATTGAGCTTATTAACTTATTTAAATGTAAAAAAATCGTATAATTATTTTAAAAAAATCTTCGAGCCTCTTGCGATCTTTTCGAACCGAGCCTTGCCTGGCTCGTGTATCGTCTTGTTTAGTCTTGAGCTGAATTCGAACTCGAGCCTAACATTGACCAAGCGGAGCTCGAACAGTTCACAAGCAACCTCAACAGAAAATTAATAATAAATGAAAATTTGAAGTTTTGACAACTTTATGGGGGTAATTAAGTTCTAGGAATCTGGTATAATTGTGTTTATTTAGCTCTGATTCGCGTGAATACAAGAAGTCAGAGGAAATGGATTTTTTTTAACAATTGGGCTCCGAAAATGTTGGGCCCTCGATATTACGAGGCCCTGTGCTAAGGGTCTGTTTGCACAGGCCTTAGCCGGCCCTGATTATAATTATTATCTTGAAGCTACAGAAATGATGATCGTATGTAAAACCAATAATCCAAGATTTCACTTAATGGAGCATGTTCTCTTCCTTGTAATTTTACTCATGAAGATTAATAAGTTACTAGTACAGTATGCCAAATTTGAATTTGCCGTAAAATCTTAGCATCAAATTAAATTTAATTTTGTTGTATGCCAAATTTGATTTAGAGTACTAAAATAATTTTTGGTTAAGTATGCAACTATGCAAGTGGTGAAGATTGTGTATCTTTCTCAACCTTGAAATTGTAGTATCAATCTCCAATTCTCCACTTAAGTGAATTACTTAATCCTTATCCATGAATCGCTACATTTTTGTTACGCAAAATGAGGCACTAACGTTATTTTTTTTGCTAATTTCAATCTCAATTTGGATCTTTAAGGCCTAAATGACCCCTAAAATCTTAACCGAACATTTTTTGACATGTAAGCCGATGAAAAAGTTGAATAGGATTGTAATTTACAATTTACACGAACTTTTGGGCTGCAATTTGCAATTTTTCTTAAATAGCTTCAATTTGCAAAATACGAACTTTAAATGACTATAATTTGCAAATTTTATTTAAAACGGAGTACGTATAAAACTTCTGGTCCACAATACGTATAAAAACTTAATCATTAGAGTACGAGTAAAAGTAATAAAAATCAGTACTTTATACTTTATAGCTTCAAGAACTACAGTCATGGCTGCCACAATCACTGTCAATTGTAAATAGATCACCTGCACATTTCAAGGTATTTGCAATTTACTCTCTTCTTATTTACTTTTATGAATTGGAGTCTGATTGCCAAATTGTTGTGAATCGGCTATCAAGAAACGCAACTCACCTCACTGACCTTGATTCTGTGCTGCGCGATGTGATGGCTCAAGTGGTGCACTACTCAAGCCTTCAATGGAATCATGTGAGACGAGAAGGCAACACTGTGGCACACAACCTTTGCAAAGTATATTCCTTTCAATGCTGAGCAAATTTGGGATCATTGTGTTCCAACTGATGTATCCCGCTATGTACTTATGGATGTTTTGGCTCTTTAATTGATTCTTTGCCCCCCTTCAAAAAAAAAAAAAAAAAAAAAAAAAAAAAACACTAACTGCAATCATCAATTCTTTAATACTACATAAACAAAGAGCTGAAAAAAAAGAAGAAAAAAACGCAGCATTAAACAAAAACCGATTGATAGAAAAAAAAAAATAGGGAAATTCTACATGGTGACCCTAAGTTTCGACCTAATCTATACGGTGACATACTAAACTTTTCTATTCTACGCTATGACACTAAGTTTTCGCTTATTCTACGCAGTGACCAAGTTAAGGTTTTAAGCTTCCTTCTAATCTCGTTTTCTTACTCAACAGCGAATCCTCGATTTTGACGCTTTGATCATCTCTAAACCTTCCCTCCAGCTCCTCCAATCACAATTCTCGGCGCCGCCATCACAACCTCCTTTTTACGAATTGAGTCTACAAAACCTTCATTCTCGAATCGAATAGCAGATAAACCCTAACTTATCTGCAATTGAAATCAAAGCGTGAAATTAAGCGCATTTGTCGATTTAAGCGTAAATTGAGGAGGAGAAACCCTAAATATTTGGGGATCAATTGAAGACAGAAGAGAGGAAGAGAATGAGATGAAATGGGAGTACGAGTACACAATTTCATCTTCATGGTTTGTATTGCCTTTTGACGACTGTCAAAGCCGCAATGTGTGTGAGTATCACGATGATACGCCCCGTGATCAGTTGATCGTTCTTGGACCTCACGGTAAATTTATGGAGCGCAGGGCTGCTAATGCTATCACACACACCCCAAACTCCGTCACAGATATGTATCCCTTTGCGGCTGAAGCCCTTGCCCGCCAAGAGACTGACAGGCTCACCTCGCTTTCCTTGGACTCCCTCTTATTTCCTACTGATACGGCTTTTAATTACCTTGTTTCAGTCAAGGATAACAAACATATCTCACTGTCAGATCTTCCAGGCAAGAACGTCATCGAAGCTGCAATGGACTTCTTAGTACAAATTGAAATAAAAAATCGAAGTGCAATTTTCTTAGTTGAAATCAAAGCTGCAATGGACTTTTTAATTGGTTTTCTTTCCTTTTAAATTAGTTTAATTGTAATTTTGATTAGAGTAGGGGTTAGGTTAGTAATTTCAATTAGAATGGTTAATAAAACATGCTTAGGGTCTAAATGGCTAGCTTAAAGGCTTAATTGTGCCACTGCGTAGAATAAACAAAAACTTAGTGCCATAGCGTAGAATGAAAAAGTTTGATATGTCACCGTATAGATTAGGTCGAAACTTAGGGCCACCATGTAGAATTTCCCAAAAAAAATAACAATCCAATCCGATCAAATAAACAAGCAACAATGAAATGCAAAAGTCAAACGGTAAATTAAAAAAAAAAGATCAAAATGCAGAAAATATAAGCAAAATTACCTGATGGAACACAGAGTATGTCAATAATCTTGCTGCACAGTGAGTGCATAAAACTAGCCTGGGCATTGGAGGCTTGGGACTGCGATTTTATCCCAGCTATCTGACATAGAAATAGTAGATGCATGTCACCGCCATTGGAATCACCAATCCATGGCTCAAAGAAGTACTAAAAACAAATCTTGCTGCTATAGATCGTAGTGCTAGTAACACACAATCACCTCCAAGCACCTAAGAGTCCAAGACAAATTCTAGCAGTTAACTATACTCTTCGATTCTGACAAATATGATTACTCATCATGGCTTAGATAGTAAGATGTAGCTAAGCTTGAGCTCTGGCTCCATTAATATTCAAAGGCTAATGCAGATACCAAGTAAACACACATAAAATATTAATACAATAGGTCAAGACACATCTGCTTCCATGAGCACCATTCAAGTAAAAGCAAGTCCAAAAAGAAGTAAAATCAAATGTTCCAAATCACAGATGTTAATACAATAATTGCATTGTATACAGCATGTGTGGTTACCCCTTCGCATAGTAAACAAAATTGCTGTTATCGATCTATGTCTAAGATATAGCTAAACAAATGCAACTCAGTGGCAGATGGCTAGCAAACACCGCAATTGGATACAAAATTTACAGGTTAATCCACATTTGCTTCATAGGTTCCAAATCACAGGAGTTAATGTGTTTGCCTACGATCAACAAAAAAAAGAAAAATAAACTATAACCAATTTACAATGATCACTCGTGATGTAAATGATTTCAAACCAATTTACAATGATCACTCATGATGTATATGTTTTCAGATCACTTTCACAGCTGATCATATATGCTTTAATCATTGCTCCTTCCACCTTTGCTCCTAATTATAGCTCACTCAGTTGTCAATAAACTCTTTCAGCAAATTCTTGTCTGCATCACCAATATTTGGATCAGTAAGTAAGTCCACAAATGATGATATAGTGTGATTATTAGCAGCAAACTCTTTGACTCTCATTAACCTGACAAGCTCTAATGCTCTCCTAATGTCCTTTCCATCAATGAATCCTCTAATAATTGTATTAAAGGTGCATTCATCTGGAAAGCATCCATTGTCCTCCATATTCTTCAGTAATTCATCGGCTTTTGCTAGCAACCCTTCTTTACAAAACCCTTTAATCATTATGTTATATGCACGCACATTAAGTAGCCCTTTAGTTGTGAGAAAGGAGAAGATGTCCACTGCTTCTGTAAGGCGATTAGCTTCACACAACCCATCTATTAGGATACGGTATGTAACAATATTAGGGACCACTCCAGTATTCTCCATTTGCTTCAATGTTGCGATTGCCTCATCTATTTGTCCATTCTTACACATGCCATCAAGCAATGAGCTCCAAGTGATTATATCTGGCTTTAGTCCATGAGCTTCCATTTCCTCGAAAAACTGGTGTGCAAGCTTGAGCTGATTGTCCTTGCACAAGGCATCTATAAGAGTGCTGTAGGTGATAACATCAGGGGATAATCCGTTACAATGCATTTCTTGGAGCAGACCAAGAGCTCTGTCTATATTTTTAGACTTGCAATAGCCATTGATTAAGCTGTTGTAAGTAACTACATCAGGTTTGCAACCATTTTCAACCATCAAATCCATAAGCTTTTCTGCCTCATCCATCTCACCACGTAAACAATATCCATCTAATAGAGCGCTGTAAGTGATGATATCAGGAACAAATCCTCTTTCAGTCATGTGAACAAAGATGTCCCTTGCTCCACCAACCTTGCCATCTTTACAATACATGTCAATCAACATGCTGTAGGTCTCAGTGGTAGGAGGTATGTTGTTCCCCAACATCTCAGTCAGCATTTCTTGGGCCTCTTTCTGTTGCCCCAAAGTGCACATACCTCGAATTAAGGTATTAAAGGTGACAACATCAGGGGAAATTCCCTTGACTTTCATCTCCTTGAAAAGGCGGAGAGCCTGAGGTAATAACTGGTCTTTACAGAGACTATCAATGATGGTGTTGTAAATGACAACATTAGGCATAGAATGGCCATAAGACTCCATATTTCTGAGGAGTTTGAGAGCACCGGCATTATCACCGGACCTACAGAGACCTTTGAAGATAGAGCCATAGGTGATTAATGTGGGTTGGTAGCCAAGCTTGAGAATTTTATCCAATAAAGGAACAGCTTTGTCCAACTGATGAGTATGAACGAAGCCGTTAATGAGGGTATTAAAGGTGACAATATCAGGTTGAAAACCAAGTTTAATAAAATTGGCGAGAACAGAGAACCCAAAATCAACAAAGTTCAAACGACAGTAGCAATTAGCAAGGATGGTAAGGGAGTAAATATTTGGACGAACACCTAACAAATGGAGCTGCCTAGAAAGAGAAATGACAGTGGAGAAAGGGGGGTGGGGTTTAATCTTACACATAGCACTCAATAAAATACAGAAATCAATGATTGAAGGAAGAGGGCGCATTGATTTCATATGATGGAAATGGGAAAGGGGAATTTCGACATTAATAAACCCTAATTTGGATTTTTGTCTAACAAATTTAAGGAACAATTTGGGGTCATCATCATCAACATTAAGATGAAAATGAAAACGTTTGGAACGATAAGAGTAAGATCGGGAATGAAATAGAAATAGAAATGGAAAAGGAGAAATAAATTGTCTGGACAGTTGAGCTCATAATAATCCAAACTATGATACAAAATGAGCGAAGTTCAAACTAATGCAGCAAGATAATACTTATCCTTCAACATTATTACGTTGTACATACACATCAGCATCTATCACATGCAGGCTTGCAAAAAGGACCATGGGCCTTTTTAGGTAGAATGATGATTAATATACCATAGTAAAAAGTGAATATTGTGACGGATTCCAGATAAGACTTAAGAAATTGTCTAAAACAAGAGGGTGTAAAAAGCTTAAGGAAATATATAAGTCCAACTATTCTTCTATTTTTGTCACCCAGTGACCCAGATAATATATAAATATCCAACCCTTACATATTTCATCTTCATAGAGTTGAGTGATTACATTCTAATGACCCACCCTAGGGTCTCCCAAATCCCAATCATGCTGAAATACTCCGGCTTTCCGGCAAGTGTGGCACCTAAGGGCACTATAGATTTTGATAGTATCCAGAAAATGTTTTCCATATTATTACAAGGAGAGCTCAAGGCCTCTCGAATTCCTTGATTATCAGAACACACTTATACTGGAAAAATCAATACCCCGTACATGATAATAATAGTTATTCTCTCTCCTTTGCTTTGATCTGTCTCTTTTTCATAATTATTCTTCTCTGAAATGTTGCTGGGACAGCTTAAATCATTACATATATATTCAACATAAGATGCACTGCAGCAAAGCACAATTCCACCCTAAAGCACCCATATCACCAAACCATATATTGAGCAAGCAATCATAGACACGGATGCAAGAAGCACTTAGAAAGCAGAAATTCAAGGCATCAAGTGCACCAACTTACCACCATAACGACGATCCTTGAATACATCTGAAAAACAAACATCTCCGGCTCGTCGCATGTGATCCTAATAGTGAAGAATATAATAAGTAGATCAGAAAAAAGCATGAACAATAGACAGTGGATAATGGGAAGGGGAAAATTTAACATAACAATCATGCACAAAACACAACTGCACAGCACAATGATTCCTTAATCCTATCTAGCTTAAAAAATTTTATCACTCACCTTAAGGTCTTGCCAAGAAACAGATGACGGCAGTCCAGTGACCATGACTGCACAAACACCAACATTAGAATTTCTTAGAGCAGTAAAATAACCAAAAAGATATCACTTGAGAAGCAAGAGTACAAGACTAACCTCTATAGTCAGTGTGCTTGGGTGCTCCACCCCTATAACTGCTGCCTCCATAACTGCTGTGACGGTCAGATGATAGGGATCCTCGACCACCATGAGCAAATTCCACCTAAAGAGTTGAGAACACCGTTGTAAGTGTTGCAACACTAAACAGACAAAAAACGGAAGCTCAGATAGACAGGCAGCAAAATAGGACCCAAGCATACTAACCCGCAAACGATGCCCGTCAAAATCATAACCATTACGGCCATACACAGCATCTTCAGCATCACGTTCATCTTCAAACTTAAAGAACATATAACAAAAAAAAAAAATGACAAACTGAGAAATAAGGGAAAGAAACTACAAGTTCATAACATTCACCCATCTAATCCCAGCTCACTCACTCCCAATCAAAATTTGACCTCACCTCAACAAAAGCATAACCAGGAGGCCGTGGTGGAATCTTCAGATCAATGTCAACGATTGGGCCATACTGCATCAGAGCGTAAACAAATAGTGAGTAGTCGCTTGTTTTACTTAGCTACCATAATTACATTTTTTACATCTCTGACCAAGAACAACTAAAGTAAATTCTAATTTCTGAGTTGGCCATACTAACATATTCTTTTGATTGCAACCAACACTGGTTTTAAACAGAATAATAACCCCCCGACACACACACACACACACACACACACACACACACACACAATAACACAAATTTGTCATTATTATTTATTTAAAATAAAATATAAAAACCCACATACAGGCGCTATATTTGTCTCCTATGTACATTTTTTCTTGAGCGAGAAGCACAATCCTAATTTCTTTTCTATATTGTTTTGGCCCATGTAGGATCATCATTCAACCATTCTTAATTGACACTTTTAACCGAGAGCATCACGAGACACTGTGAATGACTTATTACATAACAAATATTTTTTCCGAAATTGACATATATTAGAGTTGTACTCCCCACCATTGATTCTCGTGTATGTCTTGCACACTATACACATGTTGGTTTGAAAAGATTGATCATCAATATATTATTATCTATCGTTCAGCAACACAATATCACATAAGGACATACCAATAGCCTAAATATTTCTCATCTCTTCTGCCTTCGCTAATCCAAAAATAGGTGTGCCTAACTCAGCTACTACAATATATTCTGTCAATCTCAAACGGCTAGAATAAAGCCTCCGCAATCCAGTGAAATACAATGTCAAATAACTACTGCGGTTATCAATACATCATGACAGCATCAACAATAGCACATATAGAATATTCATTTCTAACTACACAATCTTAACCTTGGATATTTATTAATAAATTAGTAGAATATTAATAATTCATTTCAAGGACAATACTCATATTCAAGATGGGGCACATAAACTTGTGTAAAGGCCAACCTTGTAAAAGATATCCTCGACTTCTCTCTCGCGAATATCACCGGGAAGATTACCAACGTAAATAGTACGGTAAATTCGTCTCGTCATGTTTTTCTTCAACCCTTCACAAAGATTAAAACTTGACAAAAGCTGCACAGCAAAATATAGCCAACTATCAGAATTTCCAAGATTCTGTAAAAAAAATTCCCTCCAAAACAAGAAAACAATCTATTTTAACTAAAATTTAGACAAATCAAATTATTCACATGTTGAATTAGCTATCAAAATTTTAAATTCGAATACGCAAATTTTAATCCGAAAAGTTAAACAATCAAAACATTTCCTTTAGAACAATATTTCGAGCTCTTGTCAAAAACTATAGCAATTGCCTATAATCTACATACAACGGAGTAAGAATTAAGTGTAATAAATTGGATAATCTTCAATCTGATGAATCAATTAAACATCACAAAAATTCCCAAAATTGAGCTAATTACGATTAAAAAACAACAAGTAATATGACAATTCTAACTAAAAAAAATAAAACTTAAATTTTTTTTGAAAATGGACAAAAAAAAAAAACCTCACAGGAAAACAAGAATTCAACGTTAATTTAATAGAATAAGACGTCGATGTACCATCAAATTTCAAAAAATAAGGTAATTGACAATAAAAATCCCAAAATTAATTCGAATTACCACAAATCAATAATAATAATCCAAAACCTAGTTTTAATCAACCCAGCTAAGAAATCAAGCTATGCCAAAAAAACCAGAAAAAAAAAACGAAATTACCGAACTTAACTGCTAGTACGATGAACTAGTTAACTGAACAACTTATTAATTAAAGAATTATAAATTAAATTGAAATTTCGATGATTTAAGCACAATAAAATCAGAAGAAAACAATTATAGAAAAGAAAAAAACGAGAAGAAGACGCAACTTACCGTGAAATTTAGAAGTCTCTGGAAAGCAGTTATGAGAGGAGAGAGAAAATAGGGTTTTATAAGGGTGGAGATTGGATTCACTGCTTTTAACCTACGGTTTTATTGTGCGCCAGACGTTTGATCTTTTTGTTTATCCACGTAGCAGCATCTTAGGAGGGAATTGCTTTTATGTTGTTGTGTTTTTTTGGTTGGTTTTTTTTTTTATTTGATGATTTTTTGTTTATCCACGTGGCATCATCTTAGGAGGGAATTGCTTTATGTTGTTGTGTTTTTTTTTATTTGGCGATTTTGGAAAAGATTAAGGAAGGCATCAAATTCAAAATTAAATTTGTAATTTACAAAAAAATTAAAATAAATAAATAATGGAATGGGACATTTGGTATATGGGAAACTCAAAATTAAATTTTAATAATAAAAATACTCCTATTACGTATGGTATGTGGAAGTGAGAATTTGAGCATTTAAGAGTGAGATTTAGATTGAGAATTGATGGTAGAGGTTGATGCTTTATAAAATACGCATTCATTCTCATTATTAAGGATTTACAGGTGGCTTTGGCCTGTGTAGGTAATTAACTATTAGCTGATTGTATTAACTAGTTTGACAATATGTTTATATTAGCTAATTTGACTAACTGGTTGTAAATAGCTAATTGTATAAAAGTGTTTGGTAACTAGCTGTTTATTATTCGTTGTTTTAGTTTTTTTTTTCAAACCCAAAAAACTAATTAATTAATAGGTTAATTTTTAAATTACCACCCAAAAATATAACCATTTTTGAATTAACCATCCATTTAATTTTTTATTTTAAATTACCACCCCTTAAATTAAATAAATGCTCAGATTACCATCCATTAAAAAAATCCGGTGAATTTCCCATATGTAGGCCCCACCTAACACTTATTTTGACTCTTTTGATTAATTTTCTTCCCTGATTTTTCTCTTTAAAAACGCTCTCTAAACTTTAATTCCCATTTCCTTAACCAAATTCTCCCAAATTTCAAAGAGAAAAATGTGAATTAAAGTAGGAGAGCGTTTTTAAAGAGAAAAATCGAGGAAAAAAATCAGTCAAAAGGGTTAAAATAAGCATTGGGTGGGCCCATAGACGGAAAATTCACCGGATTTTTGAAATGGGTGGTAATCTGAGCATTTATTTAATTTGAAGGGTGGTAATTTAATATAAAAAATTAAACGGATGGTTAGTTGAAAAATGGTTACATTTTTGGATGGTAATTTAAAAAATTTCCTATTTAATAAGCTCATTTCAAATAGTTTTTATAAAGAGTTTTTTCTAACAGAGCTTTTTAAGCCAAAATAGCTCTTTTAATAAGTTATTTACCAAACATTTAAATTTGTTTTAAAAATGGTCAAACTTCTAATTGTGCTCAATAAGCTAAAAGCTATTTACCAAACAAGACATTGACTAGCTGATTGTATTAGTTGGATTGATTAGCTAATTGTATAAGATTGTTTGATTAATAATTTTTAGCTAATACGTGTTTGAGTGTGTAAAATTACCAATAAGGACATTAACATATATTAGTGTTAGAGAATTAGTGATAGTCAAAATTACATAAAGAGTATTTAAATTTTAAACACTTATACGAAGTATTTGAGAGTTAGTTGATTGAAAAGGTTATATAGTTGATTTAAAAGAAAAGAGCTATTTGGGCAGATTTAGAAGAAAAGAGCTATTTGCCACAACCCACAAGATACTTTACTGTAATATATTGGTAGTATTTTCGATGTTTACTGAATGTTATAACTTGAGCAGCCTTATTTAACATATTGTTGGGTTGGTCCGTTGGTTTGGTTTGGTTCAGCCTCACACTCGAATCGACCAAAACACTACTTCTTTGTAGTAGCCGAGGTTGTACAATCTAGTAAATGAAATTGTTTTTCCAACCAAGTATAAACATTGTTTCCTAATCTGAACACTTCAGATGACTAAAAGTAGTGCAGTTTGATTAGTTACTAACTCAGCTACCATGTCGAAATCCAGTCTCATTGTTTCTTTCTTCCTCTCAAAACCAGTTGTGCTCATGACCTTGCACCTCTTACAAATCTACATAACAAAGGAGAATGAGAACATGACTCAAAATTTAATATTTAGTACTGCAAAACAGAAAATCTATGCTGTAAACCAAAACAGAAATGAGAAAAAATCAGTCCAAATTAGCATGCTATACAAATACAACTCAGTAGGAAAGCCTAGTAAAATATACTGGAAAAAAAAAAATCAGAAGCCCCAATCACATTCTAATTTGCAAATTAACAAACTAAAATCTGCAAACAAGTCAAGTCTGCGAACAAGCATATCACAATTCTGCAGACTTTGCTATATAGTCTATTAGAGCTCCAATTAGATTGGGCAACGTTCTTATAAATCGGGCTGTATCTTTTATATTGCTGCTTAACCAGCTTAAACTGATCTCTAAACCTGAGGGTTATTTTTTACCCCTTTTGCTTCTTTTCTTCTTTTTTTCAGAATGGGAAAAAGAAAAGAAAATAACAGAAGAAGACCATGTCAAAATGATATAATCTTGAAATTATAACTATGCTATGTGATCAAAACATGAAATTTGTACAGCAAGTTCCTAGTGCCCTGAAGAAGTAAAATCTTTAATGAGACAGTGACTTCAATGGGTACTTATTCTGCAGAGAGCTGAAACACACCTAGGGACATAGTATTAACACATCTCAAATGAATGGATTAAACTAAAGTACAAGTAGATTCTTGTGTGCTGCAATAATTTGTCCTTAGCAAAGTTGACACGATTGGTGTTATTGACCTTAAATGCCCTGTGCTTGAACCTAGCATCTTCCATGGTTGTATCGTGGCTTAGATAGTAAGATATAGCTAAACTTGAGCTCTGGCTCCATTGATATTCAAAGAATAATAAGAAAACAAATGCAACTCGCTGGAAGATACCAAGTAAACACACGCAAATTAATACAATAGGCCAATCCACATCTGCTTCCATGAGCACTTTTCAAGTAAAAGCAAGCCCAAAAAGAAGTAAAATCAAAGGTTCCAAATCACAGGTGTAAATGCTTTTTCCTACAATCAATCAAAAGTTACACATTAAATATTTGACTTACTGATTCACAAGTCATTCACAATATCTGTGTACACATCTCTATCACAGCTGATCATATATGTTTTAGTCATTGCTCCTTTCACTTTTCCTAATAATCGCTCGCTCAGTTTTCTAAAAACTTTTTCAGCAATTCCCTGTCTTCATCACCAATATTTGGATCACTGAGTAAGCTCACAAATGACAATATAGTGTGATTATCAGCAGCAAACTCTTTGTTTCTCATTAAGCTGACAAGCTCTAAAGCTCTCCTAACATCCTTTCCATCTATAAATCCTCTAATAATTGTATTGAAGGTACAATCATTTGGAAAACATCCATTGTCCTCCATATTCTTCAACAGTTCATCAGCTTTAACGAGCAACCCTTCTTTACAAAACCCTTTAATCATTATGGTGTTAGCACGCACATCATGCAGCCCTTTAGTTGTAAGAACGGAGAAGATGTCCACTGCTTCTCTAAGGCGTTTAGCATCACACAAACCATCCATTAGGATATTGTATGTAACAATATTAGGGACCACTCCAGTATTCTCCATTTGCTTCATTATTGTAATTGCCTCGTCAATTTGTCCATTCTTACACATGCCGTCAAGCAATGAGCTCCAAGTGATGACATTTGGCTTTAGTCCACGAGCTTCCATTTCCTCGAAAAACTGGTGTGCAAGCTTGAGCTGATTGTCCTTGCACAAGGCATCTATAAGAGTGCTGTAGGTGATAACATCAGAGGATAATCCGTTGCAATGCATTTCTTGGAGCAGACCAAGAGCTCTGTCTATATTTTTAGACTTGCAATAGCCATTGATTAAGCTGTTGTAAGTAACTACATTAGGTTTACAACCATTTTCAACCATCAAATCCATAAGCTTTTCTGCCGCATCCATCTCACCCCGTAAACAATATCCGTCTAACAGAGCGCTGTAAGTGATGATATCAGGAACCAATCCTCTCTTAGTCATGTATTCAAAAATGCCCTTTGCTTGACCAACCTTGCCATCTTTACAATAAATATCAATAAATATGTTGTAGGTCTGTATGTCAGGAGTTATGTTATTCCTTAACATCTCAGTCAGCATATCTTGAGCCTCTTTCTGTTGTCCCAAAGTGCACATACCTCGAATTAAGGTATTAAAGGTGACAACATCAGGGGAAATTCCCTTGACTTTCATCTCCTTGAAAAGGCGGAGAGCCTGAGGTAATAACTGGTCTTTACAGAGACTATCAATGATGGTGTTGTAAATGACAACATTAGGCATAGAATGGCCATAAGACTCCATATTTCTGAGGAGTTTGAGAGCACCGGCATTATCACCGGACCTACAGAGACCTTTGAAGATAGAGCCATAGGTGATTAATGTGGGTTGGTAGCCAAGCTTGAGAATTTTATCCAATAAAGGAACAGCTTTGTCCAACTGATGAGTATGAACGAAGCCGTTAATGAGGGTATTAAAGGTGACAATACTAGGCTGAAAACCAAGTTTAATAATGTTGGCGAGCACAGAGAACCCAAAACCAACAAAGTTCAAAAGACAGTAGCAATTAGCAAGGATGGTAAGGGAGTAATCATTTGGGCGAACACCTAACAAATGGAGTTGTCTATAAAGAGAAATGACAGTGGAGAAAGGGGGGTGGGGTTTAATCTTGGACATGGCACTCAATAACATACAGAAATCAATTATAGAAGGAAGAGGTCGCATCGATATCATATGGTGGAAATGGGAAAGGGGGATTTCAACATTAGTAAACCCTAATTTGGATTGTTGTCTAACAAATTTCAGAAACAATTTGGGGTCATCATCAACATCAGCATCAACATGAAAATCAAAATGTTTGGAACGATAAGAGTAAAATCGGGAATGAAATAGCAATGGAAGAGGAGAAATCAGAAAAGAAAGTGGTGAAAAATTGAAAGACGAAGTGCAGGAAGAAAGAGGGAAAAAAGGAGGAAGATTACCTAAAAATGGCGAAGAAGAAGAAGAAGATGCAGAACCAAGCAAACGTAGAGCTTTGCTCCTTATCATCGTCTCCACTCAGTTTTCACATCTCAGACAAATACCTGCTACTCTGCTAGTGTTGGCTACTAGGGTGAACATGGTCTGGTTTGGTGCGGTTTGAGTATAAACCAAACTAAGCCGCAAAATACGGTTTGGTCAATTTTCCAAACCAAATCATATTAATATTGAAACTAAACTAAACCATAATAATGCGGTTTGGTTTGCGGTTTACGATAAAACGACATTTTTTCCTTAAAAATTGTCAAATATTAATAAATTTATAATAAAGTTTAAATAATTAGTCCAAACGGATTAAATTATACTACAAAGTTTTAATAAAAATAACAACCAACTAATCAAGTGCTAACACAATAACACATAATAAAAATAATACATAACAAATTAATAGTGGAAAAAAATATAATACATTTGTCCAAAAAAAAAAAAATATTCATACTACATTATAGTTTTTAATAATTGGCAGCAACTTAACAACATCAGGGGCTACATTATGCGATATCAATGATTGCCGGAGCTAAACTGATCTTGGAGTATAGTAGTATACAGAATTACTGACCGTCTTCTAATGATTTTTCATTTTTTTATTTTTTTTTCTTTTTTAAAATATATAATAACTATTTTAATTTTTATAAATATTATATAAATATTAAAATGTGGTTTACTGGTTTACGGTTTGGTTTGGTTTATAATTTTTGAAAAATCAAACCAAACTGCAAACCGTATTTCCCAAAAAATCGAAACCAAACCGTATTTTTCCAAACCGTAAACCAAACCAAACCGCTAAAATGCGGTTTGGTCTGGTTTGATTACGGTCCAAACCAAACTCTGTACAACCCTATTGGCTACTGCGAAAAGATGGTCATGAACTTTTTTTTTTTAATTACGAAAAGATGGTCATGAACTTTTTTTTTTTTAATTACGAAAAGATGGTCATGATTTTTTTTTTTAGGAAAAATTGACATGAACTTAACTACTCTAATTCAATAATAATACAAGTAAACCATATGGCTGATGGTATAGTGGTGATTGGTACTACATTTGATAGGGAGGACCTGTATTCAATCCCCCCGCAACAACAATTGCCTAACCATCGAAAATTAGGAGTTGAACTGAAAATAAACATATGAGAACAGACCCTTAATAGTGCCCTTTGGGGTAAGATTGAAATGGTGAATACATATGGACTTTCCTTACCCTGCCTTAGAGGGATAACTTGGATTACTATTAAGTTGTTGAATGATTAATAACAGTGATATCTGGTTTTGTATATTCCTTAATATGAATGAGCCAAGGATTATTTCACTTTAAGTAGGTTGCAGTTAGGATTGTATATTTTTTTCACAAAACAGTCTTATGACTTATACCTGAGTTAAGCATAAAAGAAGGACTTGACATTTACAATTTTTCACTTTTAAGGACCTTGCACTTTTTTTTTCACCTTTAAAGACTGGAGGTTAAAACTCAGGCCACTTAACTCACCTTTAACCCACCTAAGCATCATTTAAATGTTAGTAGTCCCTTGGTTAGCAAATGTTAGGTACTTTGTTAATAGAATTAATTTTTATTACTAGTACTAAAAACACTAAACCAATTTCAACAATTAAAATTAAATATTTCTTCCAGGCAGCGATCGATGGCGGATCTCTTGACTGACCGTGCCCTTGTTCACCAAACAACATATCTCCAACCCAACCCAACCCAACATAGTGCACGAAACCCACAAATTGTTATGCAATCCTCTAATATTCTTTCTCGTCTTGTAAATATTGTTGTTTCCATGTTCAATATTGTTATTATAAATTTAGTCGGAAAACACTTATTGCCGCCCAAAACACCACCCATTAAAATTATCAACTAATATATCCACACCTTTGTGACCTTAATATCTTTCCCTGCATGCATCAATTATAATTCAAAATCAAGCACAAATATTTAGATCAAATTGGGGAAAGCTATAAATACACCAAATCCACTCAAAAGTTTTCTAAAATCAAATTACGCACAATAAAATTTTAAGCTTATGAAATTCTCAATCTCTATCTGCACCGTCAAGGATTCTTCACATACTCAAACTCGGGAACTTTATTTATTCCCTATTTCTTGTTTTTTTTTTTTTTTTTTTTTTTTTTTTTTTTTTTTTTTTTTTTTTTTGGGTGTTGTTTGAGAGTTTAATTAATTGTAGCGCTATATTCGAAAAATTTCTACCTTATTTTCTCTTTTGATTTCTCAAATAGTAATTGAGTAAAATAACTAAAGATTTGAGAATGGTGAATGGAGTAATAGGAGTCGGTGAAGGGGAACGTTGCACGGAAGAAATGGAGGGGCAATTAAAGCTCGGGAGTTTAATTTTCAGAATAAAAATTATGCAATGTCATCATTAAAATATGTAGGCAAGGGCCCACATTTAACTATGCTTGGCTTTAGTGTGGTTAACTTTCACCTGAAAAATAGTTTGAGGTCCTTAAAAATTGTAAATGTCAAAGTCCTTCTTTTATGCTTAACTCACTTATACCTCAATCTAAGGGAGGCTATGACGTTTTAGGATTCTTAGGGTTACAAAATTTTATGAACCTGCTCATCAAGCTTTGGAGGGTGGTCGAAAGCAGACTGTTTGGGGGGTTTTTATGTTATAGTTTTCTATATGCATTGTATAAAAATAGCTCTGTTTGGTCTTTTTTTCTTAGGTTAAGTTTCATCATGCGATTGATGTTGACCTTTGTGGTATTCTCATACTCGTGAATGCATTCTCTGAGTTTTGTGAGTTCTGGTTACTACTGATAAGCTCATGGTTTCTACGCTTTAACTCTCTGTTTTTTTTTTTGGGAAAGAGTCAAATTGTATTATTCATCATTGCAGTATTTTGCTGTGTTGTTGCTCTTGCTATAACTGGATCCCTGCATCGTGTTGACAAGGACCTTCTTGGCTGGTGGTTGTGTGAGCGCCAAGTGAAATCAGGGCAACACTGATACCTGTGGTTGCTTTCCGGCATCTAGGCTGATAGCTTTAGGCAACACTGTTTCAGGGCTAGTCTTTCCTTGTTTCTTCCATTTTGGGGATGTACACTTAGCATCTACAATCCTGCGTTACGTTCCAAAGCTCTTAACGTTTTAGTGATAACCTCTTCTGTCAAACTCGTAAAGTTCTACTAAGCTCTTGTTACATTATACTCACTAGTTTTGCTTGTAATTAACTGATTCATATTTGTTCCTTTATGTTACTCTAAACTTATCAGCATTTTGTTATGCTAACCCCATCCCTACATAATATTCTATTAATACCTTAAATATATTATTTCGTATACAAAGTATATTGATATGAATATATGATAATGTATAAAGTTTTACTAACGAGCTCCTAAAAAATTGCCTCATAATAGTGTGTGTAAAATGTAAACGACCAGTCACATATACAGAGTAAGTCTGTATAGTCCAAAACAAGTTAAGCAAAAGTATCAGTATCAAGTTATCAACGCTGGGCTAGTGTCATAAAATCCTTGAGTAATTTGGAGTTCAGAAGTCAATTATATCTTAGACAAACATTGAAGTTCATTACTATCTTGCTTTAACATAAAAACTTGACATTTCGAGTGAGCTCACTCAGGTTGGGTCAATTTTGACAAAATCATCCTAAACCAATGAATGGTTTTCATGTTGTCGATGCACCATAAAGGGCCTATAATTTCATCAAAATAACCATGCTCCTGTCATTCATGTAAAAGAACATTCTGGTGAAGCGATTAACAGAAGGAAAGCAGCCGGAAATGCCAGAGGAACAGCACAGAGAACAAATCTGAAGCCTTCTTCTATACAGCCCTTTCATGGTCGGATGATTTAGGACTAAAAATTTCCCCCAATTCTATGCTTCCATCTATATTGGGTGTGTGCACGAACAATACTAATAAAGAGTATCTTACCTATTGTGCTTCATGATTCATCATGACCAACAAACTCGCTCACTAATCACACAATCAGCCCAAATATGCATCAATTATTAGTTGTTCAGAGAAAAAGAGGCCAAGAACACAAAAAAAGAAATTATGGATAACTGACAAAGAATCAAAGAATTATATCAATAAAAGCTTCTACAAAACCCCAACCATCCTCAGTATCGGGTCCAACCCAGTAGCCAGTTAATGTTTGGGGACAGTAACTTACATCAGAATAAAGGGGTGATAGAACAAATGAATCCCTAGATGGTACTCTAATCAGGTGCCCTGAGTACAGACTCTGTACAGCGGTGTGATTCCTGATGCAGGCAGAGGAGATGACTCTGAATGCTGCAAGCATAAGATATGATTTTAGAATAAAAATTCAGTTTAAAGTTTACAATCAACTCTAGCATAAGCAAGTTTGAAATGTACTATTGATTATATGAAACCATATTGAATGTATCAGCATTGTATAAGACATCCATGCTTGCAATATTTCTCTAGGGTAAAAAGAATTATATAAAGAGTAAAATAAGGTGAGTCCGTGAGAAGGATCAAAAATATAAGAAAGAAAGTGAAAGGGGTCAAAAACGAAAAATGTAGGTAAGAAAGGTCAAAAAGAAGAGAATACACGAATCCTAGTTGTTAAAAGTATAATCCATACCAAATTACCAAGCGGCCAAGATCATAAGTATAACATCAAAAATCAGTTTTTCATATACATGATGGTATATTAGTATCATTGTTTCTAGGCTTCATATTAGTCCTGCTCCAAACCCGACATCTTGTTATAAGACATGTGATTCCTAACATACATCAACAATCCATACCTAAACCATTGATCAATCTCATCAGAGTCAGGAGCTTCACGGGAATTGCTCAAGTGTTCTCATGTTGCCTTAGTTATGGGAACTTGGGAAGTCTCATGAAATAAATAATAAAAATGAGTTACAACCATAATGACACGGATAGTCAGCTAGAGGGGAGCAATATAGCAACTTTAAAGAACCAACAGTTTCATGCCACCAGCTCCATAATAAGCAAATTAAGATCATGATAAACATGACAAAACAGACATTTGAAAGTTGATATAAAAAGCAAAGGTGGATCAAGTCAAGTGCCTTAGCTTACATGCTCTATTACAGACCATAGACTTGAAACCATGTAAAGAAATTTGTAGTGAAAACAAAAAACCTTAATGGCACAAAATGAAACTTACATGCTCTTATAGACCATAGACTTGAAACTACACGGTGATCACTTGTTTTGGGCTGTAGCTCCTGAAGTGAATAAATTACTTAGTCAGTAAAACCAACACGGTAAAACCAATCATCAAGCCTAAAACAAATAAATAATACGAGTAGTAACAATGTAAAAGTTGCTAATAAATTTTGGTGCTTCTACAAGAGAACAATCCCTCCTCACCCTTACCCCCAGAGTAATCACATGAACAGCCAGATACCCTCACCAACTTCCCTGCATTAGCGGGGGAATGGGCTAAGCGCCATAGCTTCTTAAAAGAAGAAATAGGGAACTCTTGATATTAAAAATGTGGCATCATATATTGCATTTGGATACAAGGTAACGAATGAAGCCAATTAACAAAAGTTTTGAGACATGTGTATTTCAAGCAAACAACAACTAGTAAAGGACTAATGAACAAAGCTGATTAGCAAAAGAAATGAGATACTTCCTATTACTCTAAGCTGCGCCCAATAATCCCTCCAAAAGACTAAGGCCAATCTTACTCACTCGGAATCTTCGTTCCAACTCAAAGTTTCCATACTGCCCCGCCCTCGAAAATACACAATGTTACATACTCCGATTCACTTGGATACCATAGTAGAATGCAAATAGCTGCACAATTGACCTCTTGCAATCAACAACAACTATAATTGATTTCTTGATACCAACAATTATAATTGAATTAACTTCAACCCGCAAATCCGAGTCTCATCTAAACATTTACTTGTACATCAATAATTTCATACTCCCTCCGAGTTAATAATATATGTACATTCATTATTTTGATACATCCTACAAAAGTTGTCACGATTCCTAAAACAGTATGATGTATAGTTAAATTCCTTAAGAGTTACCTACCTACTTATAACTACATCTAATAACGGCCCAAATTTTACATATTCCCCAATTAATTTAAGGGTTTGAAACAATCCAACAATAACAAAATCTAATGTAATAATGTGCCTTACACTTCGAAATAAAATGAGAAATTGGACATTTAAATGAATAACATTATACAAGTAAGTTACAAAATACATCAATTAAATTCATCAAAAGAAAGCTTGTGAAATGTAAGATAAAATTAGCTCAAATTAAAATTTAATAAAAAGCGCAAAATTGAGAAAGAGAGTATTACCCTGAAATAATAAGAGACAATTGGAAAAGGAGAGAAATTAACTGCAATTAAACACGCCATTTTCTTCTCTCTCCAAATTCTTATGCTCTTTTCTGCTACTTTGAACTGCTTCAAGTTTTCTTTTGTTGCTTCATAATTTTTCCAGAGAATATTGATGAAATTTTAGTTCTTCATTCATAAAAGATACTTGGGCAAGTAATTCCGACTTTACTTGCCTGGGCCGATTTTGTTGCATTCTTACAATCTTACATATGCGATGGGAGGCCCAACCTCAATTGTGTTACGAAGTTTAAAGATGGCACTGGGTTGAACCGACCCGAGACACAACATGACTTGCTAGAAAAAAAAAAAAAAAAAAAAAAAGGTTTTTCTATATAGTGCCCCTGAAATTTGACTTTTTCAAGCTGTACCCACCCATTTTCAAAATTCTACGTTGTACCCTTAAGGTGCTTTTAGTGTCTAAGATGTAACCCTACCCTAATCCCTCCGTTATCTTAAGTTAACTTTCCGTTAACTTCAAAATAAATAATTAAAAAAAAAAAATACCAACCACCTCTCTCTCCTCCCTCACAAGTTCACAACTACCCACCAGCCACCACTACACCTCCAGCCGCACCGCCGCACTTTCGATAATCCAGCCGCACCGCCGCACTCCCACTGCCTCTCTCTCCTCGACCGCCCACTGCCTGCTGGAATACCAGCCACCCCAATCCCCTCCCGCACCGGAAAACCCACAACCTTACTCCAAACTGCTCCCTGCACTGCACCGCACCAAAACAGACCAGCCGCATGAACAAGCAAACGCCACCGACCAGTTTCTCCTCTCACCTCGGAATACCAACCACCCCAATCCCCTCCCGCACCACCGCAGCAGTCCCGCACCACTGCAACAATCAAACGACACCAAACCCTAACTTTTCCCCTAATTTGATTTTAATTGTTAAATCATCAATTTTGGTTCAATTAGATCGAGATTAAATACACAAAACTTGTTTTAATTGATTTTTCTAATGAAAATCTGCACGAATATAGTTTAATTGTTCAAGATTGTTCGAATTACACCCAAATTTTTTCGAAAAATGGTCGAAAATTTGGAAAGAGAACGAAGGAGGGAGGAGGATGATGCGGTGGAGGGTCGAGGAGAGAGGGGCGAGACACTATGGTGCGGTGGTGCAGCTGGAGGTGCGGTGGTGGTACTTGTGATGGAGGAGAGAGAGGTGTTTGGGTGTTTTTGGGTTTTTTTTAAAAAAAAAAATTATTTATTTTAAAGTTAACAGAGGGATTTGGGTAGGGTTACAGCGTAAACACCAGAGGTACCTTAGGGGTACATCGTAGAATTTTGAAAATGGGTGGGCACAGCTTGGAAAAGTCAATACCTTAGAGCCACTGTATAGAAAAACCCAAAAAAAAAAAAGAATAGCACACCATGGTATTGTTCGTGTTGGGGCGAGACCACATTTGTTTTGGAAAAACACGACAAGGCATAGCCTGACACATAACTTGTAGATCGGCCTTAGCTAGGGTTGGTACGAGGATTGACTTGCTCGCTTGGCATGTCCCATTACCATATGTACTTCTAGTTGCATTATTTTAACCATGCGTCGTTTTTTTAACCTTAAATATTTTTTTTTAATTTTATTTTAATATGGAGTATAAAAAAAATTATGCCTCATATATTCTAATCCAACAACAATTAAATCATTGATAACAAAGTTAATATGAGAATAGTGTAAAAAGTCCGTACAATGCAGCTGTTGTGAAACAAATGAGGTATGTTTGTTGTGAACTTAGACCATACCCATAGTTGGATGATCCGAAATGGACTTGACTTTGGGCCTATTCACGTTTACTGAAATGAACTGAATAGAGCTGAAATGAATATTTTATGAGATAAAGAAATTAGGAGCTTAACTGAATTGAATTGAAATTAAGTTGAATTGAACATGCCCTTAAATTGATTTGAGTGGAAATTAAGTACTTCCTTTGTTTTCTTTTTAGAAGCATACTTTAAGAATGTAAAAGATGTAAGCGGATCAATACATCAAAACAAAAAAAAATATATATAAATAAAATAAAATAAAAATAACTAGTAACTAGGAAGATAAAGTATTATGGAGTATTATTTTTAGAAACCTTTTAAGTGGTCATATTAGTGAAAAAAGTCTTTTTAAGTTAAAAGTTGTAAAAAGTGACCTTTTAAGGGCTTGTTCTCGTACGTTGAAATTCAGTTGAGTTCAGCTCAGTTCAGTTGAGCTCCTAATTTCCATCTCTTATAAAATATTCATTTCATTTCAGTTCAGTTCAATTCAGCTGAGTTCAGTCAATGAGAACAGACCCTAAGTGGTTTTGGGTTATGAGCTGGGACCTTTACTAAAAATCCGAGGAGCCAATATTGAAGTCCGACCATCTCCTTTAAAAAAAAAAACATCCTTACTTGTACGAAAATGTACTTTATTTTTGAGTCCAGAAAATTGATCAAATTAATATCCAATTTGAGGACAAAATTGAAAAAAAAAAAACATTACTCGTAATAATTTCACTTTGCATATCAAGAAATGCCCTTATTTGACATAATAGAAATCGGCCATTTCACTTTCAGTCTTTCACCATCTCTCTTTTTTCCTTCCGGCGTTCCCCTTGCGACATTTCCCGACGCTTTTTTCAAGTTCTTCTTCTTATTCTTCCTTAATTGGTTTTCTGCATTTCCCCTGTTTATTTGTTTTAGGGTTTTTTTTTTTTTTTTTTTTTTTCAATTACCTATTCAATTTTTTAAATTCACAATTGAGTTTTCTGTCACAGTTTCGTCGGAATTCAAAGCGCCGATTATAAAAAGTCGTAGTAATGGCGGATTTCCAAACGTCTACTCAAAGAGCAAAGTGGATTTTCACTCAACAAGAGTTGAATGACAAGTACATAGCTCATAATCAAAGAGCTATAGAATCATTAGAGAAGGTAAAGTTTTAATCTTTGGACTTTTTTTTTTTTTATCTTCTTTTTGTGTAATTGTTTGCATTATTGATAATTATTTGGTTTTCATGGACATTGGTTGTTGTAACAAATTGATGTAGCACGAACTATAGTGAATCGCCATGATTGTAGTTGTATTTGGCACTTCCGCTGTCTAGAATTAATAGTCGTGTTGATAGTGTGATTTGAACTAGTAACTAGTCTTTTGACCCGTGCAATGTTGTATCGATAGAAGTTGGCAAAGACGAATGAGAAATATAATTTGATTGATGAAAGTTACAAATTAAAGACTACCACATTCAGTGGCCTAGATTTTCCTAAGTTGGACTTAGTATTGACTGGTCATATTTTCAGAAAAGAAAGTTGCATTAACAATTAGCTTAGAAAATAGTCTATGCAAAATTACAGACAGAGATTCAAGGAAACAATTTAACAAGTTTTAGTGATTTTCATTACTAGTTTTCTTGGGGTTTTTTGCAAAAAACATGGCAGAAATTAGTAAGAACGACATATTTACCATTGCGTTAGGGTTTTTATATTCTAGGTGTAGATGTAGATGTGACAACTTAATTTAGATGGAGATACTAATTGGTGAAAAGTCATTGGTCATATGCGAGGAGTATTGGGTTGATGTTAAATTGTTAAGAGCATTACACGGCCTCGTTTCATTCATCTATGTTTGAAGTTGTAAGCTGCTTCTAACTGTGAAGAAATTGCAGTTCATGGAGATTCCTGCTCATTTTTACTAGATTTCATTATGTATTTATCTTATATAGCACTAATTGATGTACTAATGTTATGCATCATGAAGTATGGTACGACAAATTTGGCTATTGATGCTGATGGGTCTTTATCACATCCTAGAAGCCAAAAGGATACAGGTGGTAATGCTAATGCTTCTTTGAGTTTGGACCGCATCAATACTTGTTTTGTAAACTTCCATGATTGTGACTGCATTTTATGTTTCACTAAGGTGTTAAGCAGTCTCGTGCAAAACCACTTAGTGTGGAAGAAGAAAAGATGTTCCATGTGTATTATGAAACCAAGATTCAAGAAGTATGTGGAGCCTTCAAATTTCCTCATAAAATCCAGGTTTGCAGTTTTACTATGTGGATATCAAAATCTTTCTACCAAAGTGGAAATTCTCATTGTAATCATCTATGTTTTTTTTTTTCCAAGGCTACTGCACTTACATACTATAAGAGGTTTTATCTCTGCTGGTCAGTCATGGAGCATCATCCAAAATCTGTTATGTAAGTTATTGTATTATTGTTTCTATTAACTCGGTATTTGGCTAATATATACAAGTAGAATATTATCCTTCACCACTTATAATTACCTTGTACCTTCCCGCCCTTATTTTGGTTTTGATTTAGAATGTGTTGGAGATTACTAGGAACCAGTGGTAAGTATGTGAATGAGCACTGTCCTCTGCACTTTTCTAATTTAGAGATTTATATCTGCTTCAATAGAGAAATATTAAGTATTTTGGTATGCAAATATGTAGGTTAACATGTATATATTTAGCTTGTAAGATAGAGGAGAACCATGTCTCTGCTGAGGAGCTTGGCAAGGGTATCCAGCAGGATCACCGGATGATTCTAGATAATGAGTTGCTAGTCCTTCAGGTACAATAAGTTGCTCTTTCAATGATCTCTCGCTTCCCATGTACTCTTGCATATTTTCTGTAGATATGAATTGTATTGGTGCCCCTATACCTTGACCATACTTCACTTTGTGATTTCAGTCTCAGAGAGTCATATTTTACTACTCTTTTCGATCACAGTGAATGGAGATATCCTGAATGAAACTTACACCACTCCGGCACTCCCCACAAAATCCTGTCTCTCCTTCTCCTTCATTAGCGTACCTTCTTTCTCTGTTTACTATTCCATCTCCACTAAAACTAAGATTCTTAGAATATATGTCAAATACTGAGATAATCTGTACTAAAACTAAGATATGTCAAATTGGCCCATAAAAAAAGAAAAAAAAAAAAAGGTATTCGGGGCCCTGCTAAGAAATCACGGTCTTTGCAAGGAATTGGGTCAGTCTGCAGTAATTTCCCCCCATTGTCACGAGCCACAGTGGTCTTCTTTTGTTGTACCAGTAGAATTTTCATGATAGTGTCTGCCTGTGTGGTGGGGCTAGCCATGGGATATGATTTGTGGGAGTGGGGGCGAACTTGAGAGTTTTGTTTAATATATTTAAACTCGAAAAACTCTTACTCAAAATTGCTAACTAAATTACATGTCATCTCATATTTGAAAGGACACAGTAAATAGTCAATTGGGCAATTGGTGAGGTATATCCAAAGCATAGGGAAATGCAAAATTTGATATCCCCTATAATATCCTTTATTTTTTACTTGACATTTATAATTATGTAATTTTTCAGAGTCTGGGATTTGATCTAATTGTATATACACCATATCGATCAATTGAAGGTTTTATCAATGATATGGAGGTATGGTAAATCCCAATCTATTTGTTATAGTATATCCTCAATTTGCATATGCTCCTGTAAAATTTCTGGTTTTCCACTTTCATTGAGCATTAATGACCTATTGGTCTGTTAACTATGATTTTCTAGGACTTCTGCTATGCGACAAATGGTGAAGTTGACATGTTGCAGGTATACATCATTATTATTTTGGGACACATTATTCTTTTGTTTCCTTTTTAGCTTTTTATGGACATAGAATGAAATGTGTCTTGCAATATATCTTTCTGTGGCTGTCATGCTTTTAACATGACAGACTGGATCATAGTGGTTTGATGTGGTATTTTGCAACTGATCCTTTTGGTATCGATATTTTCTGAATGGTTTAACTGTATACCTCCTTTATTTAAGAATAGATCATAATGTTTGATGTGGTGCTTTGCGCCCGTACGCATATAAATTGATGTTATCTCAATGGATTAAAAGGATTAATTTCACTTCTCAAAAGTGAATCATATTGTTGATTGTTTGGAAAGGTTGATGTGATAGAGGAAACACAACTTTCAACTAATGATAATAGCCATGGAGGAGATGATTATGATGTACTTGAAAATTGATTTTCCATTTTACTTTCGCTCGCAGTGTGTTTTAGGATGATATACTGTTTGTAACTTTTCAAGAAAGCCAATAAACCCTTAATTCATGTTAGGTAATAAAAGCGGTGCATTTGTACTCATATAGCTAATAGGATCCCTAAAGAATGCTGTAGCTAAACCTCTTTAGTGATTGGTTGCTGCCATTATTTATAAGATCCAATCTTGAGACTGTATGATATTTATTTATATGGTGATATCTGTATCATTATATGTGTTATTTCTGTTGCTTCATATATTCTTGTTTTAATTTTTTTTTTCTTGTATATTTAATCTTGATAGCGGTGTTGCTTATTCACTATTTTGGTATCTTACTATCTTTCCAGGAGTTAAATCAGAGAGCGGTCTTTGAAGCTGATAAAGCAATGCTTACAGATGCACCACTTTTATTTCCTCCAGGCCAGGTATTCTTTATCTGAAAAGATTTAAAGGTTGGATGAGAGTACTCATGCTGAGGCTTGCCTAGGTCTTTTAGGAGGGCATCATGAACTTTATGGTAATGCTTTCACTGTGGATGTTGCTGAGAAATGTCACTTGTTAATGGTGATAATAATAAACCCCCAAACCTACCCCATCCCAAACTTCATCCCTCCACAGTATAACTAATAAATCTCAAAATAATTCTAAAATAGTATGTGTACATTGATTAAATTTTGAGTTTTTGGAGCAAAGATTACACAGTTAACAAGCATTTTGCCCCATGGTCGTTTTTGTTATGAGTAATTTTGCCTTAAGTTAATCAAAGGCAGCAGCAGAAGGCAGTGAGCTCCACAGCCTGCAATGTTCAAAATCATTCTATCTTTCCTTTTCACTTTTTATTTACTTGAAGAGAAAATGTGGATAAGCTTTATTGAGAAGGATATATGTGACTAACTATTAAATTTCCTCAAAACAAGATTTGGAATTGCGTTTTATGGTGCTAGATTTGATGCTTTGCCCATGTTGATTCAAAAGAGATTTGCAAGCAGTCATTTAGCTCTGACATTTTATGGCTCTAAAGATACAGCAATCAAACTTGAAAATCCATTACATCATTGTAAAACCTAGGATCAATGATAGTTTATATCTTCAGGCTTTTAGCTCTGTACATGAAACCCTCTAATAATTCATTTGTTAACTCTGCTTTGTACACTTCAATGTTGAATTTGACCATTGATTACAGATCTTCCTTTAGTTCCTTGAGCAGAATGTTAAACATTAATCTATTTTCCTTTCTTACTCATTGTCTCTAATCTCTGCTAATTTTTTCCATGACACTTTCCTAATTGTTCCTTCCATTTCATGTAATCATGTCAATATGTTAATGCTAAAGAGAGCTTGATGTCTTGAATTTTTATGCTTATGACATTGGTCCATAAAGGAGAGATGGGTTGAGTGCTACAGTGGCGAGGGTAGTCAACAATGAACTTTATCAAACCCGGTGGGTTTATCTGGATTATGGTACATTTTCCGCCCCAAGTTCACCCGTATCACTTGGTTCAACCAGGACTCCCTTAAAAAAGGCTCAAGAAATGTTGAACGATGGACAGTGAAGGAAAGAATATTTGTAGCTCATAGGAGTTCATGTTATAGTTTGCAGTGGTCTCACTATAAATGTATGATTAGGATTGTGTGTTCACGTGTTTTTCTCTAGTCTTCTTTCAATATTACCTGTCTGACTTTTGATTTTGCATACAATGTTTCTTTGCAGTTGGCATTGGCTGTACTCCGTAGGGCAAATTCTGAGCTCTTAGTTCTAGATTTTGACAGGTATTAGACTGCTTATGTTTTCTAAATATAACGCTGAATATTTTGCTGCTTGGTTTATTTGACTTTTCATTGATTGTAACTAGCTAAGAAATACACTTATTATGCAGATATCTTAATAGCATTCTCTCACGCCAACAATCTGAACACTCTATTTCAGAGTTGGACCAAGGCCTCAATGCTATAGAATATCTGGTACTTCTAATAATTCACTTGAGATTCTGATATTTTAATATAACAGTCTGTCCATCAAATTTTTGGTTGATTGTTATTGACATTGTACTCTTTGCAACGCTGTATATCTTGATAATGCATCGTGATTGATAACATTGATGAAACCTTATTTTGATTAGTCAAATGTTCTATATGTAATGCTATGGACAATTGAGAGGCATAGTATGTGTCAAACACTAGTCAGAGCATGAGAGATTTTAGGAGAAACATGTAACGAACCAACATAATATAGATGATTCTAAGAGATGAATGTAATGATTATGACTGATAAAACTTATGAACTGGAACATTGGAGCAGAAATTGGTCACAATCTGTTAGTATGTCAATTAACTGTATATTGTTAATCAAAACTTAGTGTCACAATTTTTATATCTTGTCAAAGCTAGTTATATTTCTTGATTTTCTTCTTTGGGAAATATTCTGATCATTGTCAATTATTTTTTTGTGGATGCACCTGCTAGTGGCTAGTCTGTTACAAGTGCATTTATTTTCTTAATGTTCAAAATGTTTGCTTTCCATTGCATGACTTATTATTAGCAGTATAACTTGTGTTGACAAATAATGATAATGAGCACCTTTCTTTTTCTCCATCCACAAAACAATGCAGATAAAGACAATTAAAGTGGGTGATAATGATGAGATGAAACGCGTTGCTAAGAAGCTGAAATTATGTCAAGATTCTGGATCTCGTGACGAGTAACTTGTGCTCCTTCTATTGTCAATTTGAATTTCAATTTCCATCGCGTTTCAAGCCTCTTTTTCTATATCTAATACTGATGAATTGTGGTTTCAGCAGTAAGAAGAGAGAGAAGAAGTCAAAGCACAAGTCTAAAAGAAATCCACAAGAAATGCAAACGACACAATCTGCTGCTGCAGAGTAAGGTCCTGTTGATGTGTATTTTAAATGAATAATTAGTTTTTAAGCCTGGGCGATGCCCTGGGGCAATATATCTCTTAAATGTTTAACTATTAATATTTTACTTTAAGAAGATAACATCATTTATTGAATAGTTTAGTGGATAAAACTTTAATGTATAAACTTGAGATCACAAGATCAAATCTTGTATTAAGCACATTGCATATTTTTAATTGTATATGTATGACTGGAATAAATCACCTAAAGGGAGGGTGACACCTGGCGTGTTTAACCAGTTAGTGAAAGTAAAGTATTACCTTTAAAATACTCGAAAATATATCAAGCATAAATCTCTAGGCTTTTACTTATTCATAACAATGCTGTCTAACTTCTAATGAACTAAGATAGCCCAATAATCGACACTTATAGCTTGGAATATAGACCCAAAACACCTAAAATAAGTCTAAATAATAAAGATAGTTATAAAAGATCACTTGTAAAACCCCTAATTTTAGAGTAAGGTAATACCAATAGAGTTTAACTGTAAATCTGTAATGTTAGTTGGAAGGAGTCTGGATTCACATAGCCTGTGTGTGTTGTGTAAGGTTTCAGCCTTTTCGTCAGACTTGTAATATTTATTGATACAATCTTTTGTGATGCGTCATGTGTGTGCAATTTGCTATAGTATGTGAAGTTGTTTACGCTCAAGTTATCTGAAATATGCTGTAATATGCACGAAATTTGTTTGAGGGCGTAAGGGAAGTAATGCTCAAATTTTCTTACCTATACTTCTACAGTAGGAAATGTGAGGTTATTGTGAGTTTGAGATGCAGTACTAAATTAGAAGGGAATCTCACCCTTTTGTTTCGAATTCTAGGTTAATCTTGATATATAAATAGGTATGAGTACATGTTATGAATATGATGTAGCTAAGCAGCTGATGTGCTTACTGGGTTGTATATGCAGGTGATATGTATTGCAGTGAACTCTTTTTGGCTGTATGACGCAATAATTGATCGGTTGTGTGATACGAGTACACTTGCAATCTATCTAGGCCTATAAACTATGGCCTCACCAGTTTACATTAGTTCATCCTGTCATTGAAATCAACAGCTTTACCTGAGGTGATGCCGCTTGCTGTTTGTTGGTGGAGCGAAGCAGTACAAGGAGCTATTGAACTGGTGTAATCCGTAGTACCATCACAACCTTTTACTGCCCTTCTCATCAGAAAAACATATTTTGTCGTCCATTTATTCCTATTCCTACCAAACAGAGATTCTATATTAACTTGTATGAGGAATTTACAAGCTTGTAAAATGAAGCCCTTCTCATCAGTCATTTATATGTATTGCAACATTTTAAACTCTTGTTATATACTGTATTTTTAGGTGGATTACAAGTTTACAACCGTTATGAAAATAACAAGTTCAGACAGAAGTTCCTACCAAAAAATAAAAATTCATTTAATTCAAATAAAATAAGTGCAAACAAAAGAAGTTCATGCAAACTAAGTTTATAAAAGTCAAATAAAATAGGAAATTTTGTCAAAAATCACCTACTAAAAATATATTTTTTTTTTAATGAAAAATCACCCATAATAAAAAAAAAATGTTATAAAAAACCACCCAAACTAATAAAATCATTGACCATATTTGTCGGTGTTGACTACCCTCCTCGTCCCCTCGCAAACCCCTACAATTCACAAGATGAACTGATGTAGACTGGTGATGTCCTTGCAATTCACAGGATTAACGGGGCAAAAGACTAGTTCAAAATAATTAGCCCTTTAATGATAGTGGATCAGGTGAGGAATTGTAGAATAATACCCTATCTTAGTAGATCGTCTTTAGTCATATTTTCACTACTTAGGAAGTTATGCTACTAAGGGTATGTATGTCATTTGTGAATAGAGGTGGTTATTGGGTAGGGTAGTCCAATGAGAATAGGGTTAGGGCCAAGTTTAAAGGGTTTTTAATGGACAGAGTCTTTAATGGACAGGGCCCTATATTGACTGTCAATAAGGGCCCTGTCCATTAAAGACTCTGTCCATTAAAAGCCAAAATATTTTTCCAATTTAATTGATAAAGAAAATAGATAATGTAATAATAATTACATAGATAAATTTATATTCATATATACTTAATAATGGCTTTGTCCAATATTTTTTTAATTGATATTTTGTAGGCCCGCCCATTATCGACCCGCTATTGACCCGTGACCCGCATTAGCCCGACCCAATATTGACCCTATAAAATGTGACCCTCTTTGACCCGATCCACACTGATCCTGACCCGACCCGCCCAATAACCAAGTCTATTTGTGAATATAAAAATCTATACTAAGGGGGTATTCTGATTGACTGAGCTGAGCTGAACTGAATATTTTATGTGAGAAGGAAATTAAGAACTGAACTGAAAATAATCTGAATGGAACAAGCCCTAAGACTCTTCTAGCAATGTCTATGTATAGGCATTTTAAACTTCGGGGGTAGCCCAACATTGGGGAACACAACCAAGGAAGATGCGCCCACCGTCAAAAAAAAAAATTGTCCATGTATCACTTGACACTCTACTCATATTGCAGAAAACCTCATGCCAAGTAGCTAGAATTGAATACCAAGCAAAGTTTGGTAGATTTGGTCTTGTGACTTTAAGGTCACGAACACGAATTTGAGCTCTACTTACTACAAAATACTTGAAAGTAGGGAATTCTCTTATCTTTCCCCTTTACTCTCAAGCGATGACCTATAGGGTTGATATCAAATCAAACCAGATAAATTTATATCAGATAAGGTTATATGTATCCACGTTCAATTTAAAAATTAAAAAAGAAAAAAAAACTTATTTAATTCAAAAAATAAATTACTCGTTTATTTGAATAACTTAATTAAATAAAATAATTAATTAAACATAGAGAAAGTACGTTGACACTTATAGAAAGTGGACCACTGTCCACTAACCCATTATAACCATAACAAACAGTTTTCTCTCTCCTCTTTCTCCCCCTCACCCTTTTTAACCGCACAACACACGTTCTCCTTCTCCTCCCTCTTCTTCTTCTTCTTCTTCTTCTTCATGCAGTTTTACTTTCTCTCTCTTCTTTCTCTGATTCTCTGCAAATCTCAACCCTAACTTCATCCTCTGACAAACTTCAACAACAAACTACTCAAAACTGCCATTGTCAAATTCAAAAATGAAGCGAAAAACTACTCTACAATCTACTCATATTGCTACTGTTGCTGTTTCTGCTGCTGAATTTTTGACGAAGAATGTTCGATCGAAGATTTCACGACGTAAACGAGCTCACATTTCTCCAGTTCTCATCGATTTCACTACTTCAAATGCTGCTGCTGATGATCTTAAGCTTAATCGCAATTTCTCCTTCAATTCTACTTGTGATGAGGTTTCCTGCAATACGACGCTTGAATCGGTTGTTTTACCACCAAACGGTGCGTTTCAGGCTGGAAATGAAGTGATTCTGAAGCCGTTGAAGAAGGAGGTTGCTGAGGTTTCAGTGTCGGAGAATTCCTGTGTTGAATCATGCTCTGTTGTTGCGGAGTCGAAGCGAAATGACGTCGCTCCGACGGAATCCACTGCGGCGGTGGATTCTCCGGCGAATATGACGGTGACGGTTGAGCAGAGGAATGTGAAGCATTATTCCTGTGATTCTGGTGATTTTCAAATTGGATCAATCGGCTCTGATTTGGCTTGCTCTGAGCAATTTTCGTATGATTATTACGAAGTTTCGTCGGAAACGAAATTCTCCGAGCTTGAATCGGAGATTTATTCCGGTAATGGTGAATCGGAGTTTGATATTTTCACTGATGAATACACTCCTTCAATGTGGTTGAATTCCGGCAGCCAATTCTCTGAGAAATCCGGCGATGATTCGTCTTCTCCTTGTTTCTCTCTCTTCAAAGAGTATTACAAGCAATTCTTACCAATGAGCTCTGATTCTACTGATTACGAAGTTACTTCTCTCTTCGATGATCAGTATTCTGATGAACTTGCTGTAAGTATTAATTTAATTAATCACTTAATTTATGAAATAATTAATGTTGCATTTTGCTAAATAATTTGATTTAATTATTAATTAATTAATTGATGATCAATTTTGTGTTTGTTCTTAGTACTGGAAATTTGAAGTTGAGGAAGATGAAGAGAGCTACAGAATGTTGAGAAGTAGAGAGAGAAATCAAGCAGTGAAAGCGAAAGACTACGTTGAAGAGTATGATTTTGCGACTGATTTCGGAGAATTAATTGTTGAGCAACGATTATTGATGGTTAATTGGATTATCGAGGTGAGTTATTTCGATTTCGAATCGCCATTGTTGAAGCTTGAATTTACGGTTTCATAAATTCTTTGACGTCAGCAGAAGTTGTTTTCTGGTTTTTTAGCTTTTTATTGTTTTTAAATTTAATTTTTGATTTTTTAATTTTTGCAAACGGTAACTGTTCGTTAGAGAGAATAACAATCAGTGTGTCACGTTTGTTGCTATTTAATTTAAAGAACCTGTCCAATAATATATTGCCACGTAAGGTATAATTTTAATTTATGTTCCTGATGGTGTAATCTTCAGACTCAAGATACACTGTCAAAACGAGTTTTAGCGTGTAAAATGCCAAAATGTTGTGCACGAATCATGTCCTCAACTAGATCTGTTTCTTTTAATTATTTTATTTTGGAAAGTAATAATAATTACTTGTAGTTTTGTTGCTAGAGGTAAAATATGTAAATTTTGATTATGTGTTGTTTTGATCAAGTAAGGTTTTCAATTGATAAGTTCCTTAATTGACCCTTTTAAACAATTTTCGAAACATATACTATTATATTACTACTCGGAGATGTGATTAATTAAACTCTAAAATTATCGTTGAGTCTTGTGTGTTCTCAATTGGGAAAGCAAATTTGGAATCGTGTTCATATCAGAGTGACTGTAAGAATTTTTTGTTAAATGCATGTAGAGACTCCATAAGGAACATGAAAGGGTCCTTTTAAATCGAAGACACAGTATATGACTGCATAAATTGCTATTCATTAGGAAGTAAATGCTAAACAATCCTATGAACTAGAAGAAGGGGTACTTGTACTTATTGGGACAGCTGAATTATTACTTTGATGATTAATGATTATTATTGTAAAAGGCTTTTTACTCAGTATTTACTTTTATCATTGCACGTTTTTCTCACAACTAGATGCTATGCATTCAGCAATTTACGCAAGATTTTGCTCAAGTTTTCCAATTATTTGTGGATTAGGATAGCTATCAACATTGCCTTCAAGGCTAGAACATTTAGTCCGGTGAATATAGCCCTTTCTTAATGGCAATCACCTGCAGCCTTGCTTTTCTTGGACATATTGCTTGAAATTTGCCTTTTACTCCAAAAATAAAGGAGATGGTTAACTGACTACAATTCATGCTTTGATCAAACAGCTAACCAAAAAAAAGGATCTCCAGAGTGAAACCTTGTTTCTTGGTGTGCGCCTCCTTGATAGATTTCTGAGCAAAGGATTTTTCACAAGTAGGAAGAACCTACAACTACTTGGCATAGCATGCTTCACCTTAGCAATCAGAATTGAAGAAAATCAGCCTTACAACAGGTTTCCACAAATCTATCTTAAAGTTGTTTGTTTAATCACATTTATAAGATGACTTAAAGCAATTCAGCTATTTTCTAATCATATTAGTTCTTCAATTCATGCCAGTTGTATTATTGGAGTTTCAAAGAATCAAAGCTTTCACCAACTGAGATATTGGTCTTAGTCTCCTAGGTCAGGGTCTCAGATAGATTAGATATGACAACGAAACATGTTTATACAATATAGCTTCAGATCATAACTCAACTAAAGCTTCCTAGTTTGTTAGACTTGGTGGATTCACAGTGTTCTGCTTGTAGCTCTTCTTTTCATTTTATTATGTTGGCAGTATCATCTTATTGTACACTGATTGCAATTATATTTTCTCAGATTTTAGATTAATTATGAATCTACTTGAATTCCAGTGTTCGGCAAAAGTCTTTCTATGTGGGAAGCAATGTGTACAGCAGATATGAAGTAGTGGCCATGGAATGGGTAGTGCAAGAAGTCCTTAAATTTCATTGCTTCTCGCCAACAATCTGCAACTTCTTGTGGTACATACAACTGTCCGATATTCTTTTGATCTGTTTGCATTAGATGCAATAGATAGATTCAATGATTAAAGATAGTATACATTGTTATTTCACTGGATATGATTTGCAGAACTGGATTTAAAGCCTATGGGGTAATACATACTACTGATAAGTGTGATTACCTTCTCAAAAACTCAGGTTTTATCTAAAAGCTGTGACTGCTGATGAAGAAATGCAAAGAAAAGCCAAGTACTTGGCTGGTCTGTCACTACTTGATCATAGTCATCTCAGATATTGGCCCTCAACTGTGGCAGCAGCACTAGTTATCCTCGTCTCCCTGGCAGCAAACCGAGATGAATTCAGCCTTAGGGTCATGGAGGTATCATAACTTCAGCTTCTTTTTTTTTCTTTTCTTTTTTTTTTTTAAATACTGATTCTATTGCATTGCATCATGTTTAGCACATCCCTGATTGACATCAATCACACAACTAAGAGGAATGCATGATTTAAAGTAATTGCTTGCCTTTCTGTTTTTCCTGTTAAATTAGTCTTTGAGATTTGACTTTAAAAATGTACCATTTTCCCACATTGCAATTTGTTTTTGTTTGGGACTTTGTAATGACTGGTACCTATTGCATCATGTTTAGATTAGGCGTATCTTTTGGTTTCCTTTTGCTTGTAAAAGATAGATTTGGAGTTTGAATTTAGCAGTATTTCCATTTATAATTTCAGAAGGCAATGCATTTTATGATGGAAATTAAAACTAAAAATTAATTTGGTCTTCCTACATTTTATAACGAGACTTAATCTTTCAATTGTCTAACACTATGTCAACCTATGCAGGCTCATGTTAGAACAAAAGTTGACGATCTACCTGAATGCATTAAGGTATTAAAAAAGCATTCCATAATTTCTAATCATTCATCAAAGGTTTTCAAAATGTTTCGGCTAGTAAAGCTCACTGCAAGTCATGTTCTGATCTTCTGACTCTTTTTGACAGAGCTTGGAATGGTTGGCTAAGTACTCTTGGTAAAGGTTAACTTTATTCTTGATCAGATTTTGTGGCCATAATACTTGTTAACACAGCACATAGAAGCTATGAAGATCCAATATTCGTCTAGTATATAAGAATTCCTACACACTGTTTCTGTACCCAATTTTTTGTGAAGTGTACCTTCACCTCATAAGATTGAACAGGAAAAAGTCTTTCAAAATTCATTCTGGGATCGCCTGCATATACCATCAGCATCAAAGTCCAGCCTAAGAGTTCAGCTAAGGTAACTCACATGTATTGTTCGCGACACAAAACTTTGTGCTCATAACAGGAACTCGTCTACAACATTATTCTTTATGTTGATAATTTTTTGCAAATTGTATAGACTATAGTGATAATGTGTCATTGTAGGAATTTATACTACAGCAAGCAAAGTTTGCATAGTGTCGAGGACATGAACGTTTTTTATTTGGTTCGGCTTTTTGCCAAAGGCATGAAGCTTTGATCATTAGTCTTTATAGAATCCAAATTTTGAACCGTTCAGTTCTATTTGCTTTTACATCAATCTAATGAGAGAAATGGATCCTCGTTAATTTCATACTGTTATATCAACTATAGTTTATGAAAATTTGGAATCACTTTATAATTAGTACTTAATTTCTGAGGCTAATTTGGGGATTAACTATATTGTTAATGCTTTTGGAAGCAGTAGCGTGGAAGTTCAGTCATGCCTTGTTAGTTTCAATCCTCTAATAAGAAGCATGATATATGATGTTGACACATATTCAGACTAAGGCTATCATTATTCAATTCCTTTATTGACTTCTTTTGGCTTGTATTAAAAACTTAATATTTGCAAAAAGATGTTGTACAGAAATCCAGGAAAATTAAAAAAATAAATAAATAATTGGATTTTTTGCGATAAAGGACAATGATGTATACGTAATTTGACCCAAAATTTTGGTATGTCTGCGGATTCATATGAAAGGAGGCAGACGTCACTGCATCAACCAGACAACCATAACATAAGGCTAACATTATTATGTTTCATTTGGATTTTGTATATAAATCAAATGGGCCAGATATCAATTGGGAATAATTCCTTTTGTACCAAGAAAAAGGATTGTTCATGTTAATTTAGACATGCAATTTTCTATATTTCTAAATTTGTTATAAATAACTATATATACATATTGCATGAGAAAAAATTTCTTTATTTAAGTTTTAGATATCTAAGCAACGTCTGAGAGAGGGATAGATGTGAAGTGCGCACCCTTCAAAATCTAAAGATTTCAAAATAAATATTTCTCTCTATACTTACCTAACATGCGGATATTAACATTTGTTCTTTATATGATAGGTGTATCATTTTAAAGATCTTTAAATATAAAGAAATGAAAATAACTTTTATTCGTTTGTTACACGAGTATATCTTTGCCAATAAATCTAAGGGCCTGTTCACATTTATAGAAATGAGCTGAACTGAACTGAACTGATTGGAGCTGAACTGAACTGAGCTGAGCTGAAATGAATATTTTATGAGAGAGGAAAATTAAGAGTTGAACTGAACTGAACTGAACTGATTGGAGCTGAACTGAACTGATTAGAGCTGAACTGAACTGAACTGAAATTAAGTTAATGTGAACAGGCCCTAAGTTTCCATGCCTCTCATTTTTTTTTCTCCCGGTTTCTTGTATGTAGCCACCTAAATAAAAGAGTAACATATCAAAAGGCACATGGTTCAAGATTTCCTCTCACAAATGAGTGTTCAAACTCTTGAATGTTTATTCTCTCTTCTCTCCAACTATTGCGAAGGTTTTGTGTTTGTTGTTCAATTTCTTCTCTCATGAACTCCCGTGTTTATAATTTATGATTATCTTCTCTACTCGAACAGAGGTATTGTATTTATGGTTCAATCTCACTATTCAAGAATTATTGTCAATTCCCTGAAAATCCCGTAAGCTTTTGATAACCTATATTTTAGCGCTATGTAAATTTAGCCCATGGATTTTTTAACAATAGCAAATTAGCAACCAATCATGAAAAAATAATGGGAAAGCATAGGATCAATTAAAAATTATAAAGAATTCTAATACCATGTTATATTAACCACAATAATCTCATATCATATCACAATTCACACCATATATCACACCATATATCACACCATATATCACAATTGAATATGATTGTCAAGCAACCACTAATTACCAAATTAGAGACTCCTTAGTTTTCGAAATTTCTTCACATGAATTTTCAAAACCTTTTGTCTATTTCTCGAGCATTCACAACACCATTTATTTCCCTTAAATGAGTATAGTTAATCATATAGCTAATTTTTCATTTCCTAATGTAAGCAATGCATAAAACCTAGTGAAAAGATTTACGAGTACATATTACAATTAAGGTGATAAAAGAAGTAGATACCCTTCCTCAACTCCTAAGAAGCCAAACCCGGTAGCTCAAATCTACCTATTCCGTATAATATTTCAGCTCAATAAAACCTTCTTCACAGTTCTCACCTTAAAACCCGATAAAATAAAAACAAATACTCATGTCTAAATGTCTAATACATTAATGATTTTGCATTGGGTTTAATGAAACACATTACGAGTAGCATATTCCAACGTCGACGTTTTTTCTTGAGTGCATAATTTATTAATACCATTTAGCTGTTTCTTGGTATGAAAGAGGTAAAGCAGCTCGGTTGTTTGGGTAGTCCTCCAGGTTTTTGTAATTCTCCTTTGCTGCAGGTTTTTAGGGGTCGTAGTGATGATTGTTGTGAGGTTTCTATTTGTTTTGATGGTGCTTGGGATAAGGTTATTCATTGTGCGGGTGCTGGTTGGTGTGAGGTGGAGTCTTCTGATATTCATCTGGTGCATGGTGGGGCTCGTGCCTGTATTGCTAATTCGGCTCTTCAGGCTGAGCTTATGGCCTGTTTGTTTGCTTTGAAGCATGCTATTCGTCACGGTGTTTATCGGGTCTTGCTTCTTACGGATTGCTCAGGAATCTCCCGTTTATTGTTGGGTCCTGGTATTGCTGATATTTCTGTGGCTTGGGTTATTAAAGATATTCGGGCATTGTTGGAATCTTTTGTAGTTTGTCATATGTGTAAGGTGCCTAGGGCTGTTGTTTCTCAGGCTCATGATCTTGCTGGAGCGGCTCGACGAAGGGAGTTACTGTCTTTTGTTTTTTAATTTTGGTTGTTCTTTGTTTTGTGTTCTTCTTGTCAAAAAAAAAAAAAAAAAAAACCCCACTTTTCACTCATTTTTGTTGTCTCTTTCCTCTCTACATTCACAGTATTTGTCCACTCTCTTTGCCGGCCCGAAGAGGAGCCAAAAAGCAAACGAAATTCCGGAATTTAAATCAAATTCCACCAATTCATCTTATACCCGCCTCCAATTCTGGTAAAACTATTTCTCCCATGTTTTTGATTTTTTTTTTCATCATTTTTTTTGCTGTGATTTTTTTTTTCCTTTTCTTTTCTGAATATATATATATATATATTGAAGAAGTGAAGAACCAATTTACTTTGATTCTGGGTTTTTGATTTTTGCGTAGTTATCTAATTCTGGTGAAATTCTACTGTTCAGATTTCTAGGGTATTCTGATTTTCCCCTAATTTGTTTTTATCATGATTATCTGCTTCTTCTTTTCTTTTCTTTTTTTTTTTCCCTATTTTGGGAAGTGGGGTTGGAGGTTTAATTTGTGGGTTTGATTTTTTATATATATTTTTTAATTTTTATTTGATAGGGTTTTGAGAATTTTGTGAGTACTTTAGTTGTGAAAAGAATTTTTGTGTTAATAATGGGTAAGCTGAAATGTAGTGCAATTTCTGATGATTGTAGTATATTTGATTTGATTTTTTTTTTTAAAAAAATTAGTTAAATGTAGTACACCTTTTTTAAGATCAAATTGATCCTTAGTTTTATTTCCTCATTTCTGGGTTTTATGAAGGTCATAGTAACTAAGTTTTATGGACAATTTAGGTGTCTAATTAGATTCATTTGTGTTTGATTTCATATATTGCATGCTATTTTTCCAGTGATTTGGTCAATGAGGTTGCTTACTAAGCTCATGAAATGCATGGCCTTAACCACATTATGTTTATGTGAGGGCATTGAAGTGCGCAGGGCATCGAGTTTGGGCATTTGATCTCGGGTTTTATAGAGCATCACTGTAGTTTAATTTATGGTTATTTTAGATGTCTAATCTATTCTATCATAATAGGTTCATCCTCAATTGATTCCATGAGTTACATGTTATTTTTCAGTTTGGGTTCATGAAATGCGTGGCACGACTTTAGAATTCCCAGTACAGCTGAAGTACATTGGGAGTTTACATGTGAGGGCATTTAAGTGTATAAGGCGTTGAGGGAAGTGTATTGTAAATTGAGTTTAGGCTATGAGATCATTGAGACGAGACTATGCTGGGACACTGTGAAATCTAATGAACTTGTTTGCTTGGACAAATGGGGTTTTTCTTTCTTTCACTTGTTGGATTTCATTTGGTTTTGTTCTTATATCAATCTAGTTATTGGATGTTCCAGCCATATATAATATTAAGTTTGTCTTTGTGGATAAGATATTTTTTAATTTTTTGGATTTGTTGACATCCTCTTTATGACAATCATGGTATGCACAAGTTTGATTTATAATTCGTGAAAATGGAATATTTCTGAAGTTTCTATAGTTTCAACTTAGTTAACGATTGGGTTGATCTTTCCAGATTGTTCTGCGGTGTGGGTTTTAAGTTGTCAAACATGGTTAGCAATCTAAGTTTGGGAGATGGAATGATGATATTGGATGAGGCATTTTCGAGAACAAGGAAGATTATGGAAGGATATTCTAATGTTAAGTTCAGTGCAGAGGAGTACCAGAAATTTTATGAGTATCCAATTTGGCCCTTGTTTTAAATTTTGGCATTAGTTGTCTTCCTTTATTCTTGTCAATCTGTTTCTCCTTTACTTTGGTAGATGTGTTTACCTGCTGTGTGTCCAGAGGACTTCTTTTGACAATTCCAGGATGCTCTACGAACGATATCAGAATGGTTTAGAAGAATGCATCTACTCATTGGTAAGAATCAACTGCAGACCATTAGGATTCATGCTGCCAATTTTTTTTCTTGTTGCCAACATTGAATTTACAAAAAATATCTTTTAATCTTTAAATGTAGAGCTACTTCAAATTCATCATAGTCAGACTCAGACATTATCAAACTTTATGCATTTTTATTCTAGGTTATATTTATGTGTATATTATTTTTTAACATAGGCATGGCTCAAAAAACCATGCTGTACAAATTGAACTGGTGAAGTGGTTGACCTAACTATCAGAAATTTGCTAGTCAAGGTCTGTAGTGGTCTTTGGTTTGCACAAAGGTTGAAGCTGTGATGTACAGTACATTCTTAAATACTTGGGTCTTATACAAAGTGTTCTAAAATCAGGTCAATATTCCATTTGATTAAATGAATACTCTGGATATCATGCTGTATCCTTGAGTATCTTTTCACCTAAAACTTAACTACATATGATGGTTACTATTCTCTTATTTTTACCACAAGACACACAGTATACAGGCATAAAAGTATCCATCATCCCAAAATAAGGTACAAGTAAAAGTTTTAGAGACAGTGTTAAGGGACTCTTGTTTTGGCATAATGGCATCTTCTGTCTGTGGTTTTGCATATACTATTTTTGCTATGTTAATTGCTCATACAAATTTCTTCTCCGAGTAAATGAACAGTCAATAATGAGTCCAACTTTGGAAAGCTACGCTACTGAATGTGGTAGTCTTTAATTTGTGAAATTTTTTCTTTGAAAAGATGGTCTATAGAGCAAAGAATACGTCTAAAAAAGATTCATTTATTCAAATAGCTGATTCATGATATTAATCAGTCGTCAGTACTCCTATATTCTGTTTAGGATACTTGTCCTTTTCTATATGCTGTTGTGTTTTGCTACTGTGTTTGATTGTTCTGCGCCCTTTTTTTTTTCAGGTCCTTCCATCGTTGGAAGATAAAAATGATGCTGCTCTCTTGACTGAGCTTGTGGTGAAATGGTCTAATTATCAATTGATAGCTAGGTGGCTGTCTAGATTCTTTTGTTACCTTGACCGTTTTTATATCCCCCGTGTTGGAGCTTTTGGCCTTTTGGAGCTAGCTATTAGATGCTTTCACAATCTGGTAGGCTATTTGTTCAATGTATAATCATTGCTGCTAGTTGAAATCACTAGAGGCCTTTTTTTTTTCCTTTTCCTGACTGATAGCCTGTACCTCAACTTGTCATATATTTCAGGTGAATTCAAGGTGTAATAGTAAATTAGTTCCTGCTGCAATAGCATTGGTAGGACAACTCTTCTTGCTTTTATTAATTACTTATTAGTCTGGGCATTATTGCATTTCTTTAAATCTCCTGTTCTGTCAATTTTAGATTAATCAGGATCGCAATGGAGAGAAGATTGATAGTAACATACTTAAGAATGTTGTGGAGTACTTTGACATTGTAAGAACAGTAGGAGGAACCTGCTATGATGAATTTGAAAAGGCCTTGCTTGCAGATTCTGTTGCTCACTATTCTCAAGTTGCTTCACATGGGCTTTTGAATGATTCATGGGGTGATTATACATATAAGGTTGTTTCCAAAAATTTTAGTATCTTGTACTCTCTTCATGTTGATTTTCTATCAACCATTTTTACCTAATCTATAATTCTATAATCTATCTTATTCAATTGTGGGGTTTTTGTTAACTTTCAGGTGCAATGGTGCCTAAATCAGGAATCTGAAAGATCTAGTCAATTTCTCAACCCAACTTTAAGAGATAAGCTTCTGCAGGTGCGTTTGTGTCTTAAGTATGCTCCTACTTTGGTAGCAAAATCGATTTAGACTAATTGAGAAATTACTTTGATCCCCGCATATATGTCAAGTTATATAATTTCACTTTGATTTGACTTGATTTAGAAAATACTTTGGAATTTACTAATGAGGTTTTTGCTGATGCTAAATTTTCTCTGTGGCCATTTTCTTGAAGGTGGTCAAGTCTTGCTTAGTCGATCAGGTTGTTACAAAGTTTGCTGAGAAGCAAAGGGCTGAAAACCAGGGCAAGTCAGCAGATTATCAGGTATGTAAATTCAAACCAACAGAGGAATCTGTAAAAGTGAGAATTTATAAACAAGGACGATATCAGTATAATTTGTTTCTGAAGCATAAAGACTTAATTGAGTTGATTTGTGAATTGGATATATTTTATGTTGAAATTGAAAGATACATATAGTCATATAGATACAGAGTTATGGAAAGCTAGTTTTTTAAAACCAGTACATTTATTGTAAATACCAGCTAACAACTGTATGTACTAGTTTTGGAACATAACTATTTTCTGGAGGGGAAAAAAAAACCTTACCATCACCGACCTAACGATAATTTTTGTATGGAAAGCTTTCAAAGAAGTCTGGGTGACACGCAACAACGTTATTCAGCTATTGTATATAACTGAATGTAGGGATTAGTTTTGGGTTTATATGAATCATTTTGTAACCCTTTACTTTCTGATATTTTCCATAAGTCAGAAATCAAACACAAATCACTGATATGGAATTAGTTTTATGCTTGCCATTGATTGTCTTTTAATTATTGCTTTTGTAGTTTGCTAATGTAATTTGCATTCAGCTCAATCCTAGTAGATACCTATACCTTCTTTCATTGGGGAGGGTAGATATGTGTGACTGTTATGCTAAATTGAAAGCAAGTAGTTTTCGCGATAAAATAATTTATTTTACAATAAATTTTACTCTACCTGAGGTACATATATCAGATATATGGACTGTAGGAGACTAGGCGTCCAATGATCTAATCTATTCCCAATGTCATATTATCATGTTTATTTGAATTGTTTCCATGATCTCTAAACCGGATTCTGGGTTGATCCTGCATGATTCTATTATCAGACCTGATTTATCAATTATTATGATGGCTGATTTTGTAGGATCTGCTGTCTAAATGTGCTGATCTCAATCTTGGGGATCCTGGTACGGATCAAAGCTGGAATATGGTGCGACAGCCTTGATGTTAGTCGGAACTCGGAAGTAACATATAGTGCAAGAGCTTGAGATTCCTCCATACAGTGATATCACCATTTTTTCTGACCGATATTTTAGGGTAGTAATACACAATAGAATTATGTTTAAGATGCTAGATAGTTACTGCAGGACTCTTGTAGACATCCTGTCGCCTGTGACTGTATGCCTGTATATATAATGTGTTTCAACATTAATATCTTGTCCATGTCTAGTTTCTTCAATCTCCAAAAATGCTAGATTTCTTATTTAGTTTGTCCTATAGTATCCGCAATCATTTTCCTAATTTAGTATGTCAAAATTGCAATTCTCGTCTTTTCTGTTAAGTTACTCTTAGAGGAAGACTTAGAGTAAGGTCATTCAGAATGAAACATTGTAGATTTAGTATACTTATTTAAAGGAAATTCCTTAAAAACAAAGCTTGATGTGCAAAACAAAAATGGTGGATGTACATATAAGCAATCTTGGATGAACATAAGTAATATTGTAATTTTTTTATTTATGTCCTAGTGTACTACTACTAAGGGCCTGTTCATATTTACTGAGCTGAATTGAACTGAACTAAACTAAACTAAACTAAGCTGAAATGAATATTTTATGAGAGAGGGAATTAAAGAGCTGAACTGAACTGAACTGAACTGATTAGAGCTGAACTGAATTGAAAATAAGTAAATATGAACAGGTCCTAAATTTACTATTCCATCTACTATACAAAAAACAAAGTTCCAACTTCCAAGTATATCGGCCTAGTTTGTTATTATATTGGACTTATTTTGGTGTTGCTCCATTGGACAAGCAAGGGTGGTGCTGGACTGGACCTTCTGGTGTCCTAACTCCTAAGTGACTCCTTGTCTTTCAAGGATAAAATTGTCAATGTGCCTAAATGTTAATCCTTGGTTTTTTAATGTACGTAGTAAAAGGTTCGTGATAGTTGAAGGAAAATTACTAACTATATTTATCAAAGCTAATTAAATTTGTTTTCAAAAAAAAAAAAAAAAACTAATTAAATTTACTACTCATTACTAAGTTTGCTCAAACTAATACTTGTAATAAATTATTCATCCATCCATATTGTTCCTTTTACACAATGATAGAGTTTAGCTATCTACTAACCATTACTTCATCCGTCCCTAAATTATATTCTTACTTATAGTATTTATCCCTCACATAATAGAGAGATGTAGGAATGTAATTTAGGGATAGGGGGAGTAGTATTTACCAAAAAGTACTTTGTTTGTTTCTTTTAATAGAGTACATACTACATACGAAGGAGGTTTTGTATGGTAGCTATCAAAGCCGCTTTGAAATTCAGCATGGCAGTGTCCTCAAGGTCAGCATCCTCTCTCTATTTTAATTGCAACGGGATAGCAGTATTTTCTGTAATTTGGTGACAAAGGTCAGTTGAAGCCTTCTCAACTCAAGGGATACTATTATTGGGAGTGTGGCAATGAAAGGTTAATTAAATTTTTTATTCACTTGCATCTTTTTCTGCTAATTTAGATCTTAACAACCAGAAGCATGGGAACTCCGGGTAACTAACAAGGTGCAAGGTTGAGGAATGACTTCTAAGGCATTCAAAGTAAAAATAAATATTAAACTATATTCGGAAAGAGATTAGGAGCATGTGACATCCTCTTATACAATAATATTTGTGATCATTCTAATCTGTTTCCTATGGTTTTATGTTCTACCTTTTCCTAGATGTAAACAATTTATTTTGTTTGTTTTCCCTAACAGATTACATATTAAGGAGGGTTTCTATGGTAGCTATCACAATCGCTTTGAATTTCCTCATGGCGGTGTCAAGGACATCTATATATGTTCTCTGTCCTCAAGGTCAACATCCTCTCTCTATTTGAATTGATTCTGATAGCAGTATTTGATCTTGGCATTTGGTGCTTGATTATCGCAGGACTATTGTTTACAAAGGTCAGTTGAAGCCTTCTCAAGTCTCAACTGAAGGGGTACTATTAGTGGGACCGTGGCAATGAAAGGTTTACGAGCTACATGGCCTTGGTAATTATATTTAATTGTTGTACATTCCATGGCTCTTTCTTGGAATCTTTGCTCTTTGTGGAAATCTTTGAGGTGGATTTTTCTGATGTACTGTAAAATCATTAGCTAAGGAAAATAAAGAGCAAAGAATGATGCTTTCGGGTTTTGAAAGAATTGTGCCACCATTTACATCCGTTAGAGATTAGTAGATGCATTAGAATTAAGTAGATTAGTTCTTTAGTATTTAATAACGGCATCCACACTATTGGCTTCATATTGAAGACGAGATCAGGGAATCGCCCTTGTGTCTTGTGATGTTTAAGTGAATGTGATTGTTTCATGTTGTGGTTATTTGAAGTTTTTCTATTTTGATGATTTTAGTTCCAAGGATCTTGCCAACATTACCCATGTAAAGATGAACAACCAAGTTGAAAGTAGCTTATTATACGGATTTAGGTTACATTCTCTCTGCACTTTGGATACTATTGCAGAATTGATTGAGAGAGAAACCACTGTAAAGCAATGCCAGGAAATGAATGCTGGTTTGATTGATCCATTGTTGGTTAATGCTTGGGAGTATTTGGACCTTAGGCTTAGCTTTGATTGTATGGACTCAAATGAGTTGCTGACAATAACTTTAGAGGATTTAGAGGCACGCCTTCAATATCTATTGCAATGAGCGGTCTGGACCAAACTAAGGAGGGATTATCCATAGCTAAGAAGCTTTAGTTACGAATAGTTGAAGGGCATAGGGATCATCATCAATCTTTCGGTGTTCATCAATTTTCTTCCTCAATTGTTTTGTACGGAGTAATAGAGTTGTTGATCACTCCTCTATCCTTGCTTCTGCAGGAAACCATTCTTGAGTCTTTCTTTATATTTTTGTATGATTGATTAATACATACAGTAATTGATTAATACATAGTTAAGTATGTAGTATAATTGATTGTAAGATTAATACATAGTGTACTGATAATTTTGTAATAAATCAAGTTTTTATATAAATGAAGCAATTATTGATTCTTTTGCACTGTCCTTCACTCCGTCCCAAGCAATTTATTTTGGAAGTTTAATAAATGAGCCTTAGCCACAACAAAATGTAAAAGAATAGATCTCCTAACACCTTAGCATGTCGTGTCACAAATCTCACAATATAAAGTTTCAAATAACAAGTAAGCGAAATAAGCTATAAGAGTTATACTAATCAATTTCCATAACCGAATTATTTCGGTTTAGATTGGATTGGATTGGATTGGATTGGATTGGATTGAATTCAAATTCGGTTTTAATAATCCAAGAGGCGCGGATTAGCGTTTATAAAATTAAATATGATTGGCAAAGTTTATGAATTTTTTTTTTCAGAAATACAACATTAGTATAAGAGTACCTGATATATTGTATTCATAAATTATAATAATTGATTACACATTTTATAAAACCACAACATATCAAAACTACGTAACTATTACTGATGTCAAAACAATTAGCTAATGAGCAATACCGATAACTTGGGGAAACGCGCGCATCGCGCGCGGGTCCACAACTAGTAATGGAAATACCACATGTTTATTTCATTCCATTAACCGATGTAAAATTATGAAAATGTCAATTGTGGTTCCCATAGGAAAGAGACACTTAATTATATTTTAATTGTACTCGAGTTATACACAAGACATTTACAAAACAAGACATTTACTTGTACGAAAATTAACTTGATTGGATATTAATATTTCAATCGTTATTTTACCAAACGTTTTTACTATCAATTATTACCTTAAAGCCTATCTATACACAATTAATTGGCAACTACTCTCGTTAGTCTAATATCTACTTACTACCACGAATCTTGTCAAACGAGATGAAAAATATAGATAAAAAACATTCTTTGGATTTTGATATGGCCGGAGGTTACTAGGTCAGGTTAGGGTTATATTGTCATTTAAGCATGACATTAGACATGCTATAGCGAATACATCGCTATCGATCTCATTTACTATTTATTTATTAGCTTAATGATGATCCTTCTACATTTATGGAATTGAAAGCGAGTTTATATTTACTGTAAGCTTGTAACTGCTTAACTATGCTAAATTTTCTCCAACAAAAAACAACAAAATTTCTCAATTTTTTTTTAGCAACAAAATTTTCTAAAGTTTTTTTTTTTCTAACCACATATAAAACCCACCTACCTAAAAGTAAAAATGTAAAATGGTAAATCAAAACAAAAGAAAAAAAAAAAGAGAAACTACAAGTACAAGTTCCAAAGTAGGACAATATATAGGGGTTAGTCATCAACACAAAAGAGGAGCAAACAAAATGAAAGAGAGACATCACACCCAATGACCCAAAGGACAATCAATTTTGACACTTATCTTCTCCAAGGGTATTTTCGTCACTTCACATCACAGAACACAACACCTCAACAAAAAGGCAAAGGCGTCGATAGTTAAGTAAGTCCACGTACTCTATATGAAATGACCAAATTACCCTCTAATTCATTCTCCTAAAGAATTAAATTCTCTTTGGCTTACGTCGGTCTCTGGAATAATTTTTTATTTTTACCCACCCAGAAAAAACATACCTTAATTTTTAATTATTTTTTTTATTTAATTTTAAATATTATAAATATTGTTTTTAGTTTTTAATTTTTTTTCTGTGTTTTTCCTGTTGCTCTGTTGAAACACCACTCAGAAAAGCCTAGACAGAGAAAGAGGAGAGAGAAAGTTTAGAGGGAGAAAGAAGAAGAACAAACACAGGAAAAAAAAAAACCAAAAAAAATATAAAAAAAAAGCCGCATTTGTTAAGAATAAACACTTAATTTTCGTTTTTCCTAATAAATTTCATTAGAAATATATTTGATTGTTGATTTTGGGTCAATAAATTTCTGGGGTTTGGAGGAGTTTGATTAACTTTTCTGGGCTTTCTTGATATATTCGGAATTGATTGATTGATTAATTGTTCTTGTTGGTTACATTTTTAGGTTTTTTTTTATATTTTTTTGTTTACTGGGTAGAAGAAGGAATTGTGGCTTATAATGGTAGTTTTGAGGGATTTGCTTCATGGGTTTTTCTGGGTTTTGGATTTCCGAAGTGGGTTTCTGAAATCTCTTTGGATTGATTGAGAATAATAAAGCAATTCTCTTTTTCTGGGGAATTTAATTTTAGGGTTTTTTTTTTCTTTGAAGTTTTGAAATTAATTTAGCTGCTTCAATTTAGATGGTATTTTAGGTGCTATTAGGTTGAGTTGGGTGTTCTTTCTCTCTCCTGTTTTTGTCTGTTCTTGAGGAGGGGTTTGTGAAGATGAGAGACATTGAGCT